TGACTCTGCGTCCCTCCACTGCTCCTCAGTGTGTCCCGCTGCCGTCTCCTCCTGCGTCCTCTCTTCCTACTCTTCCTGATCCGGAGTCTGACTCCCGTCGTGCTGCCAGTCCCACTGTCACGCGTCTCCTCGCTACTGTTGTCACTGACCCTACCTTTGAGTCCTCTGCTGCGTCTGCTCTGGTCGCTGAGTTGATAGACTTTGCTGCCCGGTGTCGTCTAGACTACACCACTAGCCTTGTTGCTGAGTCTGAGTCTGAGTCTGTCTGTCCTCCGTCCGTCGGGGGTGAGTGTGCTCTTGGCACGGACGTCCTTGAGGACAGACAGGAGGAGTTCCAGTGCTTTGCTGCTGCTTTACCCCACCTCGTGTCCATGCTAGTTGCCCCTGAGGGAGACCCGGATGCACCAGACATCCCGACCCCGCGCACTTACGCTGAGGCGATGGCGGGTCCCTACTCCTCTCAGTGGCAGACAGCCATGGACGCAGAGATGGCTTCCTGGAAGTCCACACGCACCTACGTCGACGAGGTTCCCCCACCTGGGGCGAACATCGTCAGTGGCATGTGGATTTTCAGGGTGAAGCGGCCACCGGGTTCTCCTCCGGTCTTCAAGGCGCGCTACGTGGCTCGAGGCTTCAGTCAGCGAGAGGGAGTTGACTTCTTCCAGACCTTCTCCCCCACTCCGAAGATGACCACTCTTCGGGTACTGCTGCACATAGCCGCTCAGCGCGACTACGAGCTTCACTCGCTTGACTTCAGCACTGCTTTCTTGCAGGGCAGCCTGCACGAGGAGATCTGGCTGCGTCGCCCTCCTGGCTTCACTGGGTCGGTTCCTCCTGGTACCCAGTGGAGACTTCAGCGGCCAGTCGACGGTCTCTGCCAGGCACCACGTGAGTGGCACGACATTCTGAGGACGACACTTGCGGCTCTTGGGTTCGCTCCCTCTACTGCTGACCCGTCACTGTTTCTACGCACAGACACCTCACTGCCGCCGTTCTACATCCTCGTGTACGTCGACGACTTGGTCTTCGCCACTGCTGACACCGCGGCACTCGCCCACGTGAAGTCGGAGCTGCAGAGGAGACACACGTGCACAGACCTGGGTGAACTGACAAGCTATCTTGGCTTGCGGATCACCCGGGACAGAGCACGGCGCACCATCACCTTGACTCAGTCACACATGGTGCAGCAGATCCTTCAGCGCTTCCGCTTCACGTACTCCTCGCCTCAGTCCACTCCTCTGCCTACCGGTCACTCGCTCTCAGCTCTGCCTTCGGATGAGTCCGTAGAGCCGAGTGGCCCGTATCCAGAGCTTGTGGGCTGCCTCATGTACCTGATGACCTGCACTCGACCTGACCTTGCATACCCTCTTAGCATCCTTGCGCGCTATGTCGCTCCTGGCCGTCACAGGAAGGAGCACATGGATGCCGCTAAGAGGGTGTTGCGCTACTTGTGCAGTACGTCGGGCATGGGGCTAGTGCTTGGAGGGCGAGACCGAGTTGTACTTACTGGACACTCAGACGCTTCTTGGGCGGACGACCAGGCTACTCAGCGGTCGTCTCAGGGTTACACCTTCAGTCTTGGCTCCGGCTCAGTTTCTTGGCGTTCTACACGCTCTTCTTCTGTTCTCAGCTCCAGTTGTGAGGCTGAGATCTACGCCACAGCCATGGCTGCCCAGGAGCTACGCTGGCTGACCTACCTGCTGACCGACTTGGGAGAGCGGCCTCGTTCTCCTCCAGTGCTGTACGTCGACAACCAGGCTGCCATTGCCTTGTGTGAGGAGCACAGACTGGAGCACAGGACGAAGCACATCGCCCTGCGGTACTTCCTTGCTCGAGAGCTGCAGCAGCGTGGTCAGCTTCGTCTGCGTTACGTGGCCACTGAGGCCAACCTTGCTGATGTGTTCACCAAGGCGCTTCAGCCTTGTGACCATCAGCGTTTCTGTACTCTTCTAGGCCTTGTGCCTGCTGGACCTCACTTGCTTACTTCTTGACTCTGCTTGTACTGTGATCTTTATATATATGCCTGCATGTTGTTATCACTGTTTCTCTTGTTATATTATCAACCTGCATGTGAACTGGTCTTGTGACCACTTGCTTGTGCTCGGAATTTGTGTGGTATCCTTGAGATCCACCCCGAGCTTGTTTTGCTTTGCTTTGACTGGTCTTGTGACCCCTTGCTCTCCCCCACTTTGCCTATGGGGGTGTGTCAAACATTATATGTGTTGTGCTTGTTTAGGCTACAGTGGGTTAGCCTATAGGGGGTACACAATTCTAGGGTTAGGTACTTGTACTCATTTCACTGCTAGTTCATTCATTCCTCGTTCAGTTATTCTGACAGTTTACACCGAAGAAGGACGGCGGCATTCGCATGTGCATCGACTATCGCGCGCTCAACCGGGTTACCATAAAATCTCGCTATCCCATCCCACGCACCGACGACCTCCTCGACCAACTTCGCGGCGCTCGCTACTTCTCGAAGATTGACCTACGCGGCGGTTACCACCAGATCAGGGTCTTCGCTGACGATTGTCACAAGACCGCCTTCCGAACCCGCTACGGCAGTTACGAGTTCACAGTGATGCCTTTCGGCCTCACGAACGCGCCATCAACATTTCAACGCACCATGAACAGGGTATTTCGCGACCTGCTAGACAAGTGTGTTATCGTCTACTTGGACGATATTCTGATTTTTAGCAGGACACGCGAGCAGCACCTCCGCGACCTCGACGCAGTGTTTAAGCGGCTACAGGAGAACCGGCTCATCACCAAAGGCTCTAAGTGCGAGTTCTTTAAGCAAGAGTTGGAGTTTTTGGGGCACGTCATCTCACGCGACGGCATCAAAATCGACCCGAAGAAAATCAAGACCATCCAGGAATGGAAGGCCCCGACTAATGTCACGGAACTTCAGAGTTTTCTGGGGTTTGTGAATTATGTCCGGCGGTTTATCCCGAATATGGCGGGGATAACCGGCCCGCTGACCGACCTGCTGCACAAGGATAGGAATTTCGTGTGGGGGGAAGAGGCTGAGGCGGCTTTTCAGGAGTTGAAGCAGTTACTGGTGTCCCCTCCGGTTCTTCGCATCGCCGACCCATCCAAGCCGTTCGAAGTCGTCACCGACGCTTCAGATTTCGCCATCGGCGCAGTGCTGCTCCAGGATTTTGGCGCATCGTGTTCGGCTCGACGCTTCGGGACGCCACGTGGACTTTCTTATCCGTTGGACTGACCGCACCAGTGAGGACGACACATGGGTGCCATCCGCCTCGCTTGAAGCTTCCCCGCTTCTTGGTGATTACCTCGTCCCCAACCTGCACTCAACCTCGTGTTCCCGAGGTTCCCGCCTAGTTAGGTTGCCTCGCTATATAATCGCATGTCTTTCATTGTATCGTCAGTTCATTGAGTCACAGCCTCGTTATTCGTTATTCCGCGCAACTCTGTTTGACAACTCATAACAGACCGGATAGGAAACAATGGTTACCACCAGGGCGATCACACAATTCGTTTGTTACGATTTTTACGCGTGGCTTACCTTCGGTGCGATCGACCTCCACGATTGTTACCGCTAAGATAAATGCCCTTTTTACTACATTCTGCGGCCACGTGGGAGGGAAGGCGAGAAAACCAGATAAGGACGCGGTGCAAATCGGGCTTTTGTTCGCCTCAGATCGTTGAACGGTTCGGGTTGGATTGGCTTGGGTGAGATTGCCCCAATCTGAGGCAATCTGTCGATAATAACCCCGAGCCGCGCGATCAGACGGGTGAATTTAGGGGAGTTAGTCAGAATTAGGAGTGCGGGTTCTTGGCTATTCACCCGTTCCTTTTCATCAGAGTTAGCGACACCTGACGAATTTCTGTATCGCACAATTACAATGTAGCCCCATTTTGGGTTCCCGATTGTCCCAATTTCGCGATTTCCAATGATGGTGCGAGGCAATCTATCGATTGCGATCGATTGCGTCAGATCGAGGCAATCGTTCACAATCGAGAGATCGCCCCCAATTGCATGCGATTGCCTCAAAATGCCCCTGGGGCTTCTCGGAAATGGTCGATGCCCAAAATCTGATCCAATAGGACTCAAATCGCCCCGATCTGCACCGCGTCCTAAGCCTTTGTTGCACGGTTTCGGCCATTTCACTCTGTACTTGCTGCTACATTTCACTTGCCCTGCTGGTTCTCGTTCTAGTGGGCTCTTTTACAGTAAAATGACATCGTTTCGAGCCCTGGGCCACTTCTTTGCTGGGCTGGCGAGGCGAACACGTACGACTAGAACAGAGCAGATCGAGGACGACACGTAATTCACTCAGTACCCTCCAATAGTACCGCGCGCACATTAGTTCCCCTGTCGTCATCGTCGCTTCCCTTCGTCGCTCTCACTCCCTCCTTGACGCCGTCGTCACCCGCCCTCACTTCCCCAATCGCACTTGTGAATTCAGAGAAAGTTTCTCTGCCTGCCTTCGCCTCCTCTCTACTCCTCGTGCCGCGAACCAGGGGCACACGTTGAGTAATTTTTCTTGTGAGTACAGCGCCGGCCGGTCGACACTCCAAAGTCTTAGGTAAGCAATTTTACACGTTGGCAAATTCTTAGGTTACTAACCGCCATTCAAGCGGTGTTCCCAGCCATTTTGGCTTATTTCACGTCAGGAAAAGATCCCCTCTGCCAGACACAGGCAGGGGAGGGGGATAGGCCGGGGAGATGATGTGCAACCGCTCCCCTTACCCCCTCACCTTCCCCCCCGTCCCCTCACTTCTTCCCCCAATACAGGCTTACGCCCGCACGCCTCGACTACAACTTCCCATTGTTACAAGCCCCTGCAGAGTTGGCAGGCGCGCGGGTGCGGCATGGTGTCCTGCTCACATGACCCCCACCCTCCCCTCGCGACCTCCATGCCCCCCGCAGGCACTCCCAGCAAAGGCCGCCGCATCCACCACCCACGCGGCGTGAGGCTGCTGCCTCCTGAGCGAGCTGGGCGAGTGGCGCCATTTGTGGGGCGGGGAGGGCGAGGATGCCGTTACAAGTGGGCGGAGGGAGGGTTGTGCGAGGGAGCGGGAGGACGCGGGCGATGGGGAGGAGCGGTGGCGCGGGGGTGGTTGGGCGACTGGCGGTGATGGGCGTGGTGGCGGTGATGGCGATGGTGGGGAGCGACGAGGGCCTCACGAAGGGCGGTTGGGCGCAGCGCTGCTTCTGGCGCAGCAGCGGCTGCAGCCGTGGCTTCCTCCCCATCATGATGGCGCATGCTGCTACTCTTCACCCCAGCCAGTGTAAGCGTGCGGTGCGAGTGTGGGAGGGAGAGCGTGCAAGCGCGTGTGTGAGGGTGTGTGCTGCAGTGCACCTAAGGCACCACCAGGGCTTGCCAACGCATGCACATGCTATTCTCATGATCTCATGCTATGCACATGATCTCACCATACACCGTTTCCCGTCTTATGTGCTATACCGCAGCACAAGCGCCCCTCGTCCCTTGCATGCCCATCCCTTAGCCGCCCCCCATTGCTGCGCTGACCCCCGTTGCTGCATCGTGCCTCACATGGTGCCGCCCCTCCCCATGCACCCATTGCTGCGCTGCACAGGGCCGGGGCTGCGAGACATGAAGGCGCAGTGGGGCAGTCAGATACCGAGCATCACCAACACCTGGGTGCAGAACGGTGACTGCTCAAATTTTGATGGTGTCAACTGCAATGGTGCTGGATTCGTGACAACCATGTGAGTGTGGGGTATGCCTGGCATTAGGCGCTCGCAGCATGAGGTGTAACGCCAGGGGACTTACGGGAGGGGTGAATTTAAGCATCCGCGCCGCCGTGCCTCTTGATATGCCTTTCACCGAGTGGTTCAGCGGGGCGTTATATGTGGTCCTCTTGGCATGAGGAACTCATTCCAGTTGGCATGAGTTGGCTAGTCGTTGCTATGCCGGTCTGTTTCAGTGATGCAGGACCTTCTAGTCTGCAGCCTCACACTCTCACCTTCCCTTGATTGTGAATGCAATACTGTAGGGACACTTCTGAGAATGCTCCAGTACGACTCCAATCCAATCCAGCCTCACTCTGACTCCCGCTACCTGTTGATGCGTTGCACTGTGTGTCGATCAGAGGTTTAACGTACAACCATCTAACAGGCTCCCTTCCTGACACTATTGGAGTCTTCAGCCGCCTTGAATACTTGTACGTACACTCTCACATTTTTTTTTTTAACCCCTCCCCCCCACCTCGTGCCCCTCTATCTGACGTGGGCACCAGCTGAGTCGAGTAGATCAAGGTAGAGCTGGCAAAAGTTCGAGTTGAAGAGATTTTAAGCCGAGTCGAGTGAGACGAGAGGTGACCGAGTTTCCAAGTTAAAGCTGTCGGCCTTTGTGCTCATGTCAGAGGTGGCCTTTAAGACGAGTGTCTTCTTACTTCATCTTCTTTTTGTCTATCCTCTCTGGCACATCAATGAAAAACGGTAGCCGTGAAGGGGGACAAGATCATAAAAATGGTACTGGTTCAAAGTGGGCTTATGCGCGGTGGTGTTCAAGCCTTTTCTTTTTTGTGTGTTCTCTACTCCTTTCCGTCGCTGCTCACGAGCCGTTGCTTGTGAACTGGGATTGTGTCTAACCTCAAGCAAGGCAGTTTGCCGCAACTCCATTATACGATTCCCCATCCGAATGCTGCCTGCTGCTATTGTGAGGGCTCCGTGCCTCAACTGGGCTCCGTGCCTCAACTGGGCTCCGTGCCTCAACTGGGCTCCGTGCCTCAACTGGGCTCCGTGCCTCAACTGGGCTCAACGAGCCTCAGTTGAATCAGCTCGTGCTTGTGTCTCGAGGTGATGGTACGAAGGTGCATTGTGAGTGGGGTAGGGTTGTGGTGCATTTTTGAAACAGGATGGGTGTTTGCTTGCAATCTTGCTGGGAGATGGTGATCACTCGATGTCATAATGACGTGGGGAGCTAGTGAGTGGTATGAAGATCACTGATGATACCATGTACGGGCGAAAATGACTTTACCAGAGTTTGGAGTCAAGTCGGCGATTGCCCATGCCTGCTTTGGCTTTGTGTCGCTCAAATCATTCCGTGGTCGCCCCATCACCAGCTATCCCTTTCGTCTTCCACTGTTCACACACGCATCCCATCGCCCTGTATTGCCTCATCTCTCTTATTCGTGTTTCTCACACTCTCCCTCTTCACCCTTGCTCTCCGCTCCCTCGCCACGCCCCCTCCTTTCCCACTCAGCTACATAGACCAAAACTCTCTATCAGGCTCACTCCCATCTTCCATCTCCAACCTCGTTGTTCTGAAGGAATTGTGAGACGGCCTTTCCATCAGGCATCTGCTGCTGGTATGCTCGTGTTGCTTCAACGCGAATGCAGCTACCAAGCTCGAGTAGACTAAAAATTTGTCTTTGGCTATTATTACATTACATGGTCTTGTTGGTGTTATTGGGCACCTCCTATGCCTCTCTCACACGTTTCAATATGCATCACCTCCCCCTCTTGTCTCTGTCACCTCATCACCTCTTTACCTCACTTCACAATAGGTCTTATCTAAGTTGGAATATACGCTCAGACCCTAAAGCGTACAGCGTTCATACGCTAGCGTGTATACGCAAAACGCGATACGCTAGCTAATACGCTATACGCTATCAGAAAGTTTTTCGGGCTGCCCGGGAAAAAAATCGCTTGTATACGGAAAGATGCGGAATCTTCTGCTGAGCATTTCGCCGAAGTCGGAATGCAATTCGACGGTATAGGGAAGCGGGAATGTGCCTTTGAAGATTGCAGGAGTCTAAAATTGAACATTCGTTTAGTACCGCACTGAAACCCATCTCATCTACGAGCTCCAACCTCTCAAAAATGTCCCCCAACAAACCCTACTCACGCTATTTACGAGCCAGCAAAACTCCACTGGTCATTCTAGTTTACATTCCTGCTTGCAATCCTTCCGATTCCTAGTAGTAGCGATAGTGTCTGCTCCACATCCCACCCCAATCGCCGTTCAGACTTTGTAAATTCCTATGAAAGTCTTAGTGAGAACAGGGAATACCTCCCCGATGTTGAGGACTGCGTTTTTTACCCTGCCCGGGGAAGTTTTTTTCCTGCCCAAAAAAGCGTATCCTTGATCAGACCCCTCCAGCGTATAGCGTGCATACGATAGCGTACATACGAAACGCGTATATACGCCAAACGCGTTTATGCCAACCTAGGGTCTTATGCCTCTTCATAGTAGTTTTCAGTTCGGCAGAGCCACGGCCTTGTTGCCTTTACATCGAACCCGTCACTTTTTTCCTTATTCTCCACGGCTGTGCTGCTTCTGGTTGTTATGAACAAACAAAAAATATAATCTTCACATGGCGCAGATGTATATTCATGCATATGTGCATGTATATGTATATATATGTGTGTATGAATGTCTATGTAGTTCAATTTACATCCTTGCACCCCTTACAGGCCTTTCACGCCTTGCACTACATGCCTTAACCCACCAACAGCGATGCCAGGCTTAACCAGCTCAGTGGATCCCTGCCTGAGGGCATCGGTGCTCTCACTGCCCTGCAACAACTGTATGGCCTCCTCCTCCTCACTCGCCCTTTCTCTTGCCATTTTCTCTCCCTTAACAACTCGTTTGCTCCCCCAAATTTTACCTACCCGAACACATCAATTGATTCTCACCGTAACTGCGTACTCGCACCCCCAAGGGGAAATCAAGACGCGTTCAGCTGCTGCCGATCTATGTTCCATTCAGCACGTGGTTCCCTCCTTCACCCACAAGGCCTGCTCCTCAATACTTCTCCTTTCCATTTCCACTGCACATTGTTCGCTTGAGTTAGGTATTTGCTCAACAACCAATTGGAAGGGTCGATCCCATCGTCCTTCAGCCAGCTAACCTCGCTAACCATGTGGTAAGTAAGGCCACCACACCAGCGCTGCCTCTGCATCGCATGCTTGCGCTGCCTCAGGGCGGGCAGCCTGTGTCTGTCCGTGCACGATCCCATTCCATGGTCTTCAAGCGGCTGGGATCAAGGATTAGGCTGGTTAGGGTAATACAGGTTCGTGGGTTACTAGAGGTGCGTGGTTTACTACACTACATGTGTGTGGAGTATTACACGTGTGTGGGGTGTTACACGTGTGTGGGGTATTACACGTGTGTGGGGCATTACACTGGGGTATTACACGTTTGTGGGGTATTACACGTTTGTGGGGTATTACACGTTTGTGGGGTATTACACGTGTGTGGGCCCATTCCATTCAGGCAGCACTTGCTTGCGCCCCTGGTCCAACCCCTCGCAACCGGGACAGTTAGTCATGGACTCGGGCCTTGGTAGGCATGAGCAAATGTCAAACCTAGCTAGGGACCACTCTACAAGTCTAGAACAGACGAGCCAAACAAAGAGGCCCCCGTTTGGTACTGCCACTGCTCTTTGGTGCAAGCGCGGCCCATGTCTCGGCGCGCAGGTTTGAGTCGCCTGCCCGAGTCATGCCGAGAAGCAATGAAACAAACTGCTAGACTCCGTTAGGCTTGCTTGACTTGAGCTACGGTCGATTCTAGCCAGTGGAGGCAAGTCAAAGCTCCACCCGGTGCTCATGTCTCACAACTATAGTGTTGATTGCTCTCGTGGGCTTTATTCTCACCACACCGCTCATGCTAGGCTGGTCTCATCTGAACCAAGCCTCTTTCTTGTGTGTGCGTGTGCTTTTTTCTTCCTCATGAAAATTCTTGGACGTCCCTCCATCAGTGAGCTCTCAAACAATCACATCTCAGGAAGCCTACCAGCGGGGCTGGGTAGTGCCTCCAAACTACTCGCTCTGTGAGTTCTTCTCACACTACTCCACTTCTTTCTCACATTCCAATCCCGCTCAACCTCGTCCTTTCCGGGGAGACAAGTGCATCTCCCCCATTTTGCTCCTGTGCCCATCCCATCCATATTCAGCCCTGCATTCAGTGAATATTCATGGCGCAACGCACCATCATCATTCTCCCCCCTGCCATCATTGCTCCCTGCCTTGCTGCCACCATCCTTGCTGCCATCACCCCAGGCGTGCCTCCAACAACCTCATATCGGGCTCCCTGCCTGCCTCTGTAACAGCCATGACTAACCTCCGTTTCATGTGAGCCCCTCAATCACATGTCAGCCTCTCAATCACATACAAACCTCTCAATCACATGTGAGCCTCTCAATCACATGTGAGCCTCTCAATCACATGTGAGCCTCTCAATCACATGTGAACCTCTCAATCACATGTGAGCCTCTCAATCACATGTGAGCCCCTCAATTACATGTCAGCCTCTCAATCACATGCAAACCTCTCAATCACATGTGAGCCTCTCAATCACATGTGAGCCTCTCAATCACATGTGAGCCTCTCAATCACATGTGAGCCTCTCAATCACATGTGAGCCTCTCAATCACATGTGAGCCTCTCAATCACATGTGAGCCTCTCAATCACATGTGAGCCTGCCTCTCCATGGCCTTGGCCAGGCTGGGGGAATGTAAGGGGGGGGGCTTGCTGTATTGTTTCCAAATTTGAGATTGCCAACTGACATCCCGGCCACGAACCAGCCCGCTTGTCGAGCCTGGGCGGCTTGTTGCGTTCAACTGGCGCACGAACCATCGTGTTCACGTGGCCGGATGTGCAAAAACGAAGCCGGGTCGTTCATCTGAACTAGGCAGGTCAGATGGTTGCTCGCAAGACATGCAATTTGTTCATATCCACACAACGACCATCCTTCTCACAACCCCGTTGATTCCTCCTGTTTGATCCCTCCATCCCTCCGTCGCCCCTTGTCTCCCTCTCCCATCCTCCGATTGTTTCCGTCCTGCCCTCTACACCTGTTCTCTCCTCCTTTCGCCGGCACCCTTGCCGTGCACGGCAGAGACATGCGGAACAATAGCCTGAGTGGGCCCATCCCATCCGACATAGGCTCCATTCACACACTAGAAGAGATGTGAGTCATGGGAAGGGTGGAGCATGGGTGTCGCCTCATGGCATGCACATGGGGAATGGGATTTGAGTCGTGTGGTGTGGGGGGGTGAGCCACTCCCCCTACTAGGTGTCATGGGGAGGGTGAGCCACTCTCCCCTACTAACAAGCACGTTACTAACCTCTCTCCTCCTCATGGATAAGCCAACTCAACTGTCCTTGAGCCCCGTGATCCTTCTCATTGTTTCCACAATGAGTGCAACCATCGTTGATATACCTGCTTAACCCACGAGCCCTCATGCTCAGTGCGGAGGTTCAAGCTCCGTATCACTAGATAGACTCGATGTTCGTGAATGCAATCACCTTACGTGATGGACCCGTGTGTGAACCAAACCACGTGTAAGTAGACGACCTTTGAGACGTCTCAAAAGACCCGTGTGTGAACCAAACCAGGCCAGGAATCTATCATGTTTGTCATGTGAAACTGAACCAAGATGCCAAGATGCCAGGCTGAGCCGGTGATTCACCTCGGCAGCTCGCCTGATGTGGCGGTCAAGCCAAGATGCCAGGCTGCCAGCTAGGGCATTTCGGCTTGCCTTGAGTCGAGCCAAGTGGAGAGGGGGCCGGGGGGGGTGCGCGGGGGGGCGGGGGGGGGGGGGGGGGGCTTGTCTGCGCAGGGAGACCGCCCATTATCAATTTTGCCTTGACGGTTTCGATGCATGAAACCTTGCTCTGTAGTGGATTCCGCTCTGGCTGTTTCACTGGATGAAACCTTGCATTGCAATGTAGATTCCTCCCGTTACCACCTCCTCCACCGATGCCTATGCTTCCCAGTAGCGCTGGGCAAACAGCATTTGTGTAAGACACCTGGATGAAACCTTGAATTGCAATGTAGATTTTTCCCGTTATCACTTCATGTGTTTTCATGGCCCAATATCGTCGTTCATGGGTTTAGGACAGTATGGGATTTGGGCCGCATGGCTTATGGGTTTATGGTCGCATGGTAGCTACAGTAGGCCCTTTTGAGCAAGGGCTCAAGCTACAACTCACCCCCCTTTTCCAGCTGGTCGCCTTGAAATTAATGACGATCAACCAGCCAGAATTCGAGGAATGTCTGTAGATACATACGTATGTATATACAGGTATGAGTAGATTAGTTGGACCAGGCTAGATTTCGTGGGCCAACAAGAGGAGCCAACAATACAGATCTGTGAGCCATTTCTTCACGCATCAAGAGGAGAATTTTGCCAATAAAATTTTGCACAGTGCGAGCTGTGCGCGAGCGATATTGACAAAATCTTAAATTTCTCGGTAACTGTGCGATTTGTTCTCAAGAGCTTTCTTGAGTTTGTACATATGTGTACTTGTGTTTGGTTATGTATACTCGTGTCTGAATTTCCCCTAAAGTTCCAAGAATCTGCAGAATCTCTTAGCGGAAATCTTGTTGCAACTTTTTCTCCCTTTCCCTGAAACAGCGACATCTTTTTTCTCATACCCTTCTTGTTTCCATGTCAAGAGATTCCCTGTACCTTGAACCTCCTCTACCCCCCTGCTGCGTTGCCATCTCACAGTAACCTCAGAGATAACCAGCTGTCGGGAACAATCCCTTCAACCATCGGAAACCTCTTCCAGCTGTACTCGTTGTGAGACCCACATGCTGGCCCTTGTGCTGTGCATCTGCGCTCTCTGCAACGTCATGCCTATGTGGGTTGCTGTTGCTGCCTGCTCCCACCCGTGCCTGCACCATTCATGCTGTGCTGTGCAGCACACCTCACATATGCGCCCTGCTGCTGCATCCCATGGGCGCGTCACCCAAACCGAAACCATGCATCCTCTCTGCATCACTCTTTGCATCTCATCTCCCCCACCCCCACCCCAATCACCCACCTCCCGCTTGAAGTGATCCCTTCTCTTCCATCTCATCTGCCTCTCTTGGCTCATTCCCTGCACACATCCCGTTTCCATTCTTCTCTTTAACAGAGATATCAGTAACAATGAGATTTCTGGCTCTATACCGGACGACATAACAGGCCTAATCTACCTCACACTGCTGTAAGGCTCACACTGCCGTAACGCTCTCTGTTTTTTCCCCCATCCTCTCCCCTGTCTCGCCTTTGCCTCTCCATCCTCCACAAGCACGTTGAGTCTGAGGCAAGTTGTGTAATGGTTTATTCAAGGGCGTCACCAGCAGCAATTACCTCCATCTTTGATGGGGATGCGTGTGCTGATAAGATTTTTTCTCTCTTTCTTTTCTGTTGTCGTCACTTCATCCCTGTAGTTTGCTGTTTTTCACCCATTCTCGCTCTATCCTAGTGGACCCACTGCAGCTGCTGGCCATCCACCCTCTCCTCTCCATCTCAGTGTGCTGCCACACTGTTGCCTTGCCTGCTCACCTCATATCTTAAAGTTTATAACTAAGGTTAATAATCTTGTGTGACAAACAGGCAGTAGCCGGAGGTGATTTTCCAGTAACCTGAAACCAGGGCTGAGCCAGTAGCACAGGGCACTAGTGCAACACGTGTGTTGGGCACACGGAGGCCAGTTATAACTCTGTAAACCCCCATTCCCTTCCAACCCTGTTATCTCATCCCATTTCCTTTGCACTTCCTTGCTTGATTGCATTGATTGCACTACTCTTGGTTTTTATCTTGCTATCCTCCTTCCCCTTTGCTACATGCAGGGACATGAGTTCAAACAGTCTAACTGGCAGCATACCGCAAGGGGTTTCTAATCTTGAAAAACTCCAAGTTCTGTAAGTCCCTGTAGCCACCCCATCCCGCCTCCGCATCATGTTCCAGCCATGCGGATTATAGCTTTTGATCCTTTTTTTTTCATCTGCTCTCCCCTCATTTGGTTCTGTTCTGCATACTTCTGATTCCAGTCAACTCATTCCCCATCCATCCATACTCAATCTGGTTCCACTCTCTCAACCAGCAACCTGAGGGACAATCAGCTGACAGGGAAGGTGGTGGAGCCGGTGCCACCAGCAGTGAGGGTGTACAAGCTGGACCACAACTACCTCACTCAGGGATTCTCCTCTCCCCCGCCTTGCAAGCAAGGCTACATCACCTTCAGCAGCAACTGCGCGGCCACGCCAGCACAGGGCCTAGCATGTGTGGACGAGACTCAGAGGGCTGAGGAGGTGTGCTCTGCCTTTTGTGGTCTCTCTCCCACCGATCCGGCTTGCAACGGCCATGGCGTGTGCTTCTTGGACGGCCCCAGCAACACGCCCACATGCCTTTGTAACGATAACTTCGTGATTGGGGAGTTCCCTGGCAGCTGCGTGCCTGTGGCAGGTCAGCCGATCAAATCCCTCCCGCCGCATTTGTCATGCGATCTGAATCCCTTGCAATGGTGGCGTCCCTCATAGTTACTGACTGCTCGTTGTTTCTTTTGGACAGTACATTATGCGATCCCCACTCAAATGTCTCTGTACCCCCCACCCCATCTTCAGGTGGCACGACGGAGCAGCAGCAGACGCCCACAGCAGCCACGCTCACAGCCACTGGCGACGCCTCAGTGGATGCTGCAACAGCCACGCTAACTCTCACGCCCGCCCAGCCGTCCAAGGCTGGCAGTGTGTTCCTGGCAGCGCGCGTGCCGCTCTTCTCCTACCAGCTCATCAGGGACTCCTGCGGCCGCCAGCTCGCCTTCTCCTCCTCCTTCTCCTTCACTCTCACCCGCCCTGCTGCCTCTGGCTCCGAAGGCTTTGCCTTTGTGGTGGCCTTTGATGCCACCCCGCCCACAACACCGGTGGCGGGCGGCATGGGGTATGCGGGGATGGGAGCGCGCAGCGTGGCAGTGGAGTTTGACACGTCGATGGATGCGGGCAACAGCGACCCTGACAGCAACCACGTGGGCATCAACACCGGCGGCAGTGTCACGTCGGTGGTCACAGCCAATATGAGCACCCCTCTAAATGACGGCACGCCCAAGCACGTGTGGATCGAATACAGCCCTTTATCCGATGGCTCCCTGCGCGTCTTCCTCTCCTCCCAGGCGTCCCCTCGCCCCACCACCCCCCTCCTGTCAGCACGCATCTCCCTGTGTGAGGAGCTCGCCCCCTCCCCATCGGAGTACACCTTTGCCATCGGCTTCACTGCTGCCTCCGCCACCCAGCCTCAAAGCCATGTCGTCTCCGCCTGGACCCTCTCCACCTGTGAGTGCAGCGCTGCATTCCAACATGACTTAGCTCTTGGCTTTATTTTACGTTGATGATTCTTAAGCATGCCTAATTTAGCTCCTTTTTTTTTTTTTTTTTTTTTTTTTTTTTTTTTTGAATGTCGCAGATTTTTCTGCCCAGCCAACACCAGGTACGACACTCTATCTACTGTGTATTAATTTTTTCCCTTTGAGGCAAGGAATGGAGTGGCCCCTCTGTCCCACCTGGTCCTGGTTCTCACCGTAGAAGATGGATCTGTGGACTTTAAGAGCACAATGGGAAGACGAAGATTGTTCCCTTACATGCATGAAATTCTTTGCCATCCTGGTTTGGCAGCAGCCCGTTCAAATTTTTGGGTTTGAAAACATTGTTGCTCTGTTCGGTTGATCCGTTAAGTCGTCTATCCGCATCAGGTATTTACTTTTACTGTCTGCTAATTGAACACTCGATAGTCAATGCACATCCGTAAACTTCCATTCGGCTTCGGTGTGAATAAAACTGATGCGCCGTAAGATACTCAATCTGCTTCTTCAAGTCTACACAAAACGTGGGCCTTGAAACTGGACCCTCTACTATCTCGTGTTGGTGAGTTGTGAGTACGCTGCAGTGGCACTTCTGCATGTAAGTCGTCTGGCATGATGTCTTTTTACTCCTCAATAACTTGATTTTTACTGCTACAACTAGCTCGAATGTGTTTCTTCCTCCTCTGTTGCCATCATCAGCGCCACTCCTAATAGACTAAACGATGTCCTTATCCAGGGATGTATTTTGTGCAACGATGAAGACATATGTGTATGTTTGAACACGTTTGGCTAGCTTCAGCACCTCAAGTTGAGGGCAGGGCTAGCCAGCCTTGACAAGCCAGGAAGTGAGGCCTACCGCCCACATGGCACTGGGTGGGTGAGTGTGGTGGAGTATGGACAATTCATGGTGAGCATAACATGAGTTCGGAAAGTGTAGATGCTTTGAGTCTGAAAGTGACGACCTAGACTTCGGGCATACTTGATTTCCATGCTGCTGAGTACTTACCTGGCGTACAACACAGTACTGCTTGTTTTGTTCCCTACCATGTATCCACTGTGTGCACACACACCCTATCCCCGATCGCAGATGCAGCGCGGGGCTTTAACTTTAACGAGGCGGCGCTCTCCTTGTCGGGGATGAACCGTTTCTTCCGCTATGCCAGCTCGGGCAGTGCTGCTGCTGAGGGTGGCCGGGACGTGTATGGTGTGCGCCCTGCATGGTCCTGGGCTAGGCCTGACTTCACCTGGATAGTCAAGACACAAACCACTTGCGGTGAGAACTCCTAGAGGCTGATTGGCACTGCAGTAGGCCACCCCACACGGCAATCACACTTGTTCGCCATGCGCCTTGACTTTCCGGCGTTTGTTGTTAATAGGCCTACTCGGCTCGCCTCAGCCCAGGGTAGGCTCGTGACTCGTCCCTCCTTTGAGCTGAGCTGATACGGCCAAGCATATGCTGGTTTGGGGCAAACCAGGCTGGACAAGCTGATTCGTTGCTCTGATTTGTGGGGTGTCTAGAACAGCAGTCATTCGTTGCACTTGTTAAGTTGGGCATGTTAGCCTAAAAGGCACTCACTCAACTTGACATCGCACTTAGTTCGCAGGCACATTAGCCTAAAAGGCTACATGGCACTCGCACTCTCTCCACAATATAGATGTTGAATAGGCACACCGTTTTGGGTGTAAATCTACTATTTTGTGGCTAACGGGTAATATATGGCTAAGTAACGCACTTCATCTTAATGATCCATAAGGTCAAGGAACGCACTTATTCTTAAAACAAAGTTCTGGAGTAAGTAACGTGCTTACTCTTAATACCAAACATTGCTGTAAGTAACAGATTTACTCTTAGTACCGCAACATTTGGGATAAATGACGCACTTATTCTTAGTACCAACATCTGGGTAAGTAATACACACTATCTTAATACCACACATCAATGTAAGTAACACATTCACTCATAGTACCAGACAAAAAGCTAAGGATCAATAACGCACAAGGGTGGGTGGCTGATTGGTAGACTTATCTCAGGGTATACTTCTCACCTCCTCATCTTTCAACCTTCTCTTGCTCATTCCTTGCTCTAGCACTATGTTCGCATGTCAACTTGTTTTCGTGAACTCAATGTCTTTCTTTCAGCTGGTGATGGCGTCACGGCACAATGGTTCCTCAAATTCACTTGTACCCCCTCGTCACGGGTTTCTCCGCAGGCGACTGCTGGGCGTACGCAGTGGTGGGCAGCATCGAGGCGGCGTACGGCATTATGGCCAACCTTGCAGCGGCGCCGGTGCTGTCAGTGGAGCAGCTGAAGGCCGCCATGAAGGTCGGCTGCTCTGGCAGCACGCCCTCTCAGGCCTTCCAGCTGCTGCTCAAGCTCGCACGCAAGGGAGGTGGGCTCGTGTTGGAGGGCCAGTGGCGAGCCGAGAAAGGCAAGGCGCCCGTGAAAGCAGGCAGCAGCAGTCCGCTCTGTGCACCGCTCATGAAGCCACTGGCGAAGCTGTTTGGTGTGGCGTGCGGGAAGGGTAGTGACACCACACATGTGAGTGAGGTAGTGGGACTTGGGGTAGCTTATTCAGACAGTCCATTTATGTGCTGTTTCCAGCCGAACCTGAAGTTTCTCTGACAGTGAATGTTCAGATGCCTTCACGCTCTTGCCATGAATTTAATCCGCGTCCAATTCTCTACGCGTCGGTCCTCCCCGATGCCCCGACTGTCCCCCACACCCCTTGCAGCTCCCCAAAGCGTTCCCCATCAGCGGCTTTGAGTCGACGTCCTTCTACGGCTGGTTTGGGCTGCTGCTGGCCGTGCAGCGGCAGCCAGTGGTGGTGCACATTGAGGCTTCCACCAACACGTTCAAGAGCTATGATGGGGTGAGGCAATTAGAGTGCTGTCTGGAGACAGGAGCGAACGAAGGGATGTGGTGCACCTTTGAATGCTCTTTTGTATTTAATGTGTTGCTTCAGTTTTTGCTCCTGATTGCTCCATTTCCAACCCTCGCTTTTCCCACTAGAAACTTTCTTGCAGAGGCACATGGCATTCTGCGAATCACTCACTTGCTTGCCAATATGTTCCTTCCCCAGCTGTCCAAGTACCAGGACCCAGCGTGCTTCACGTACAACCTGAACCACGTGGTGCTGCTGGTGGGGTACCGCCTGGTGGGCAAGGACTCGCGCTTCCCCCACATGGCGCCGCCCTTCTGGATCATCCGCAACTCATGGGGGCCTGACTGGGGCGATGGGGGCCACATGCGCATGGACATCCAGGGGGGGGATGGCGTGTGCGGCATCAACTCGCTGCCAGGCCTCTACCCCGTGGTCAGAGGTGAGTGAGTGCATGGTTAGAGGTCAAGTACATGTTCAGAGCTGAGTGCATAGATACCACTTGCCTTGCTTCATTTACGCATGGGTACTCATTGCATGGCCCAGTTCAGCTCATTCCACTGGTTTGCACTTCAAAGTTCACTGCTGCACTGCCTTGCTTCTCTGCCCTCCCTGTGCCTTGCTCTGCCTGTGCCTGCAGTGTCTTCTGATCCCTGCTACAAAGCTGCACGCAGAGATACCTTTGGGTCCCTCTTCAATCCCTGTGGCAAGTTCAACTGCACTGTGAAGGGCAAGACAAACGAGTGTGACTGCAACGACCCACGCTTCATCCAAGCAACCAACGCCGATGGCTCTCGCACATGCGCCTACAGTAAGCTACCGCTGCTGCTGCTGCCGTCGCCGGTGCAGAAGCTTCTGCTACCGCGGCCTCCGCCACCATGTTCTCAAGTTGAACAAGTTGAACTGTGTGCCTGCTTTCACAGCCACCATGTTCTCTCATCCCTTCCCCTCCCCTCTGCTCTTCTCCGCTCCCCTGGCCACCCCTTTCCTCCCACCCTTCACCCCCTTCTGCCCACCCCACCGTGCCTCTCATCAGAGGATGCATGCAAGGCAGCCAAGCGCAACCCATGTGCGGTGGGAACGTGTGTGAATGACGGGGCAGGATCGTACTCGTGTGTGTGTCCACCGGGCTTCAGGCAGGGCACCACCGTCGATGGCACCTTCTCCTGTGCTCCAGGTGCCTTCCCTCTCCTTTAGACAGCTACTTTTCTCGTATAACATGCTCTCTCGCCCCTTTTCCCGTCCCTGTCTCGTCACTTCTCTTCTGTCAAGCCCTTCAGCCTGTCCTCCCCTCTCTCCCTCTCGTTGACGCTCGGCTGCTCTTCCAGTGCCAATGCTGCTCTGCGTCCACCACATGTGCATGCCAAGAGTCGAGTCGCTGGACTGCAGTGCTCTCTCTCGGTGGTTTCTGCTGCGTGGTGGGTTGGTTGTCTGGCTGGCTTGTGTCTCATGGCTGCTCTGTGTGCAATGCGTGTGTGTGCAGGTGACACTCGCTCACAGTACACGGTCATGGCGCCCAACCTTTTCTGCTCAGACGTCTATCCGCCCTTTGGCCTCTCGCTTCAGACATTCAGTCAGCTCAATGTGAGTGACTGGCGGATATGCTGCTGCTGCTGCTGCTGCTGCTGCTGCTGCTGCTGCTGCCGCCCCATTGCAGGCTGAATTGCAGTTGTTGCTTTTGCAGTGTTGTAGCAGCGCATGTACCCTGTATCATATCTTCCGCTTCTATCATGTCTATCAACGGTGCCAATCAATTCAAAACCAACTGTGTATAGTATCGCTCACATATCTCTCATATCAACACCCTTTGCTCGCTGTGCCTGTGCAGCCGGCGGTGGATTGCAACTTGCCTCTGCGTGTAGGCACGGTGCTCTCTGTTGTTCCAAATTCCCAACTTGTCCCCTGCTCCGTCTTCTACACCACTGCAGAGGTGCGTTCTTGGTTTTCCTAGCGCCTAGAAACAATTATAAATGATTCATCAAGACACCACGGAGCAAGTTGTTGTTTTTAGCGTCTCAGACACCACTATTGATTGGAGGTGTGTTGGTGATATTCTGAGCGCCTCTAAGTATTATGAATCCAGTGGTGCACCTTCCACCCCATTGTGAATCCACTGGTGCACCAGAACAACGCCAGCCCAGGTCAGTTCATGTGTTCTGCACATTCTACTCCCCAAAGTCCACCACCCCTCAATCAACCCCATCCCATCAAACACTCTACAGGCCTTCTGTTTCTCGACCGGCGTTCACCACAGCTTGCATGCCGCTCTGTCTCCTTCGTGTTTGTCTTCTCCCACTGTCCCACCACCACCACCATCCCCGCCCCCCAATAACCTCTTATCCGCCAGGGCGACACATGCCAGTCTATCGGAGAATACTTCAGCCTCAACAACTGCCCCCGCGGTGACCCTGCCTGCGCGTCAGCCTTTCAGGCCCTCAACCCCGGGCTCTCCTGCTCCCTCAACAGCGGCCAGCTGCAGCCCAACCAGGCGGTGTGTGTGGAGCGACGAGCCGCATCAGCAGCAGAGCAGGTCATCCCGGTGTGCTCGCAGTACTACCTGGTGCAGAGCGGTGAGACGTGCGACTCCATCCGCAACGTGCCCACCCCGGCACTCTCCCCGCTTGACTTCTTCCGTTTCAACCCCGGCATCAAGTGCAACCGCCTCGTACCAGACACCACCCTGGACTTGCACACGGGGTTTGAGGTACGAGGGGCTTTGCATTGCTGCACTGGAGGGCGCAGCATCATTTACATTGATTGATGAGGCATTTCAAAAGACTTCTAAGGCGTCTCATGCTTTGCACTGGATGGCTCATGCTTCATATTATTGCCTGGATCCTCATGTCATCTGCATTCCTGTCTTTTTGTTTGGCATGGGGGTACGAAGTGCTGCTGCATGGCTCAAGTGCATTGGCTGCTGGATCTCCCTGATGTGTTCACTTAGAGAAAGAGCGTCATCAAAATCATGATTGCATCACACAGCGCACTGCTGACCCTTGCCTCGTTAACTCTGATTCTGGCTGCATCTCATTATCCCATGATCTTATCACCCCATGTCCCTGTAACCCCATGATTTCATGACCCCTTGACCCCATGATCCCATGATTCCAATCCAGGCGTGCATACAAGTCTCTGGTCAGTACACCGTTGGAGTTTGTCCAAGGAGCACAGCGTACGTGGCAGGTGCGGACGACCGCTGCAGCTCCATCCAGATCAGGTTCTTCAAGGGCAATCGAGGATGTTACAAGCGCATCAACGGATATGAATGCCTCGATAAAATATCCTCAGGGAGTAGAATCTGCCTGCCAGACCAGACCAGAATTCGCCAAGGACTTTGCACAGTTTAATACGCGTGTGTGTCTCTGTGTATGCGTGTGTGTGGGTGTGGGTGTGTGTCTGTGTGCGCGCACGCGCGCTTGCGCGTGCTTGGGCGTGGAAAAGTGTTGTAGTATACACTGTACCGTATTACCCCGGAGGCCTGCGCTTATATCCGGGGTGGTACGGTGCATTGAAGGCCCAGCAGGGTGCACCTAACCAGGTCTGTCAAACTTGAGAGTATGTAACACATACAAATTAATGTTTACATATGTATGGACGGTTACTTTTGAAACAAGGATTTGGTGGCACAATGACCTTTCATTGTAATGTTTGCACTTGCACAAAGGTACATCACATTCAGACCTAGAAGACTATTGAAAAAAAAAAAAAAAAGAGGTAAAATTCTGGTTTCGTCCTCATTAGCCTACGTGCTGTCTTTATGGGCATATTCAGCGCCCATTGGCTGGCTTTGACTGCAGCAGCCAACTCTTGAGGCCATCACTTAATGCGCTAATGCCCAACAATGAGCTCACACCAGACTGTGAGCCATCACGCCTCTCAGACTCCTTACAACCATCTCTAGACAATAGAGCAGAAGCATTTCTTGAGGACATATCCATGCTGCTTGGACTCTCATCTTTTGCGACACTCTCCCACTCGTCTTCCTTGTCGGGGCAGTGCTTGTCAATGAGGGCACTGAGGCGGTATGCCACATCCTTCATGGTGGGTCGCCGTGTGCCGGGAGACTTGATGCAGTCCAGAGCCAGGTCTGCAAAGTCCACAATAGCCTCCTCACTTACTGCCGGCATCTTGCTGTCCTTCAGCTCATCCACCTCATACGCCTCCACGAGCTTCATAGCCTGGAGGGAAATGTACACGAATGGATTATGCATGGCGAGGCAATGCAAAGCAGCAAGCGAAGCAGCAAGGGAGGTGGAAGGCAGCATGACAACAAGGAAAGGCACTCAAATCAAGCCTAGCAACAAGGGAAGGCAGTGAAAGCCAGCATGGAAGCAAAGAAAAGCCATTGAAAGCCACCATCGAAGGGACTTCAGGATAAACGTGCGGCCATAAAGATGATTTTTCAGTCTTATCAGCATACTCATCCACTTACAAGCAACTTCTCAAGTCTTAAGCCAAAACAAGAAGGGTCTCATACTTGATGTGCATACCCATTTTCTTATGTGCGTTTTTGCGTCAACTTGGGGTGACTTGCCACTCAGCAGCTCAAGAAGCACGATTCCAAAGCTGCAAGCAGTCATCCAATGGTAAAGAATTACATAGAAATGTAGAGATGGCAATCCAAGGTACAAGAACTCAACATAGGCAGGGGGATAATAAAAAAGGTGCATACGATTCTTGTGTCGTGCAAAAGGAACAAGCATGCACAGAGGTAGAGATAGCAATACAGGGCATAACTTGGAAGAAGAAGAAGAGAAGAAGAAGAAGAAAAAAACAGAAAAGCACAAACGCATTGTGCAAAGGAACAAGCATGCGGACCTGAACACGTCACTCTTGACAGTGATGACGTGGGTGCGGGTGTAGTCTGGATCCACATAGCCCGGAGTGCCGGCCACTCGCGTGACATTAGCGTCGCCGTGAGTGAGGCGCTTGAGCAGCCCAAAGTCAGCCACCTTGGCTTGCATGTCTCCAGTGACAAGGATGTTGGCTGGCTTGATGTCGCAGTGAACAATGGGTGTGTCAAACCCATGCAGGTATGCCAGGCCCTCTGCTGCTCCCTGTGCCAAGCGCAACCTTTGGCGCAGCGAGAGAGGATCTGAGCCATGAAACATGTAGACGGAGCAAAAAACGTGAGTTTATGAGTGATGGTCTTATTTCCTGGGCAGAAAAGCAAATGCTTAGCAACCATTCAGCCATCGTGCCAGTGCAGCTCACGTTTGCTCGTATGGATGTGGTACTGCAGGTCCCTGTTGGCCATGAACTCGTACACAAGGATCTGCTCCTGCTTGCCCGTTTCCACGTTCTGGTCCAGGCAGAAGCCCAGCAGGCGCACAAGGTGTGTGTGGTGGAGAGAGGCCATGGCTCGCACCTGTAGTGAGAGCACAATGAAGGGCGGACCACAACAGCCATGGAACGGAATGGAACGGAATGGAATGGAATGGAGTGGCGAGTACTGGATCTGACTTTCTGGAAAACAGTGAGTACAGGGGGAGCTTCGGAATGAAGTTATGCCTGACCTCTGTTTCAAAGTCAGTTGGTCATAATGGTGGAGCGCTTGATGGCCCACAGCTGGCCCTGTGGCGAGCGGCCTTTGTAGACAATGCCAAAGCCCCCCTTGCCCAGCACATTGTCCTCGGACCAGTTGTTGGTGGCATTCAGCATCTGCTGCAGCGTGAACTGCTCACACACATCCAAACCCTCCCACTTCTCTGTGCCCACATGGAACGCCAGACAAGAGATAGAGGGAGAACGGGTGTAGGTGAGAATTCAGAGCATTTTTCTAGTGGAGAGGAAGACATATAGTGCACGATTAAGAGAGCTGGGGAGTGGGGAAGAAAGCCAGGAAATCGGTGCAGCAATGGGGGAGATGGAATGGAAGTGAAGAAGGGTTGAGGGGGTCACTTTGTCTGCGGGGCCACAGCAGCCATGCGATCACAGCAGCCAGCAGAGTGAAGCCAGCAAAGCTTCCCAGAACAATGCCTACTATGGCACCCGTGGACAGAGAGGACACTGCCAAGGAAAGGGAGGTTAAGGGAAGCAGGGTGGTGGTTACGGGGACGTGTCGAGCTGAGGAAAAGAGTGATGGCGTGTGGGTAACAAAAGCCTTATGACATGGTAAATGTGGAGCATGGAAGATTGAGTGAGGCAGTGGGGTACCAGTGGTGGTGTTTGAGTAGACGATGCCGCATGTGGAGCCATCACAGAGGCACGTATGACTGTGGCAGCACGGATCAGCAATGCCTACCAGTGGTGGTGTTTGAGTAGACGATGGCACATGTGGAGCCGTTGCCCGAGTAGCCGGCATCACAGAGGCATGTGAAGTTGGTGCCGGAGGCGGGGTCAGCCGGTACACATGCCCCATGGCCGTCACACGGGTCATTATCCGTGATACTGCAGAACGCCTGGCAGGCTGCTCTGCTGCGCTGGGTGGCGTTTGAGGAGCACTTCTTGTTCGGGGTGAGGGTCAGGCAGTTGCCTGACAGACTCACCCTCACCATCCTGCCAGACTCTGCCACGGAGTTATCCAACGCAGCACCGCCGCACTTGCCACGAAACTCTCGATGGATAAGAGAAGTATCAAACATGTCTAGGTTGTTGGGCTCGTTCACCTCGGTGGGGCAGACCTTGCAGCCGGCAGCAAAGAGCACTCCGTCTCCATAGAAGAAATTGTGAGCCAAGTTGATGAGGGCATTGCCGTCTGCCACCATATTCTCAAAGTCGCGGTTGATTCGCCCGTACAGGCTGTTGCCGCTCACATCACTGTGGGTGGGAGCAGGGGGGGTCCAAAGAAGAAGTTGTGAGCCAAGTTGAAGAGGGCATCGCTATTCGCCGCCATGTTCTTGAATTTGCAGTTGATTTGCCCATACCGGCTGTTGCCGCTCACATCACTGTAGGAAGCACAGGGGAGGGGCCTCATGGAAAGCAGGAGATGATCTTTATGTCTTACCGGATAATGATGGGTGGGTGGGATGCCTACGTTGAGGGTGCGGGTTGTCATGGATGGTTCTGAGAATAGAGTTTGCTTGGTAGGCTCACATTTGGTTGATACACTTGTCAAAGAGGCAGTCTGGCAGGGGTCCGTAGAGGTAGTTGTTGCTCACCATGCTGCCAGCCAGCAGCACAGCACACACCATGCCGCACCGTGAGTCACACACTCATACAGAAAGACAAACACACAAAAGCGAAAGTACTTCCTACATTTCAATGATTTGTAACATCAATCAAGAAAACAGGAAGTAAACAACCTGCATCCAAGTAGCAATGGTATGAAAAATAGTAAGTCCTGGCTGACAAACTTCTCAAAAGAATCAATCATGTGTATAACAGCCAGCCACTCACAAGCGCCACAGCCAGTGCAGAGAGCATAGGCTAGTTGGCAGCGGGCCTTCAATCTTATTGTTGTCCAACCAGCTGTGGGGACAGGCAGAGCATTGGCAGGATCAAAGGTGCCAACCGTTGCATGAAGAGCAGGGGGTGGAGTGGGCATGGCTCATGTGATGTTTGAGTCTTTTGGTCTCTTGTGTGCATTCCACGGTGTGAAAGTTTGGTAGATCTGTTACAAGCTTCTACTGCAAGCTTGTGCTTGTGCTGCCTGTGTCGCTTCCTATGCTGCCTGCCAACGTTCTTGAAAGAGTGGGAAAAGATGCCAAACATCATCACCCTCACATCTGTTCAAGGTTCTTAAGTCGGCTGATGGCGGATGGCAGACTGCCAGTCAGAAGGTTGTTGGCCATGTAGCTGAAAGACAATGGCAATGGCAGGGAGGGAATGGAGGCACTGGACTGGCCATGTACTGACAGGCAACAGCAATGGCAGGGCAGGGAGACAATGCGATGGAGACGTGGCGCATGCAAGAGCATTTCGGGCTGATGCGTGAAAGCGGAGGCTCTTATCAACAGGATTCGTAAAAGCTTGATGCTTACAGGAATTTCAGATTTTTCATGGTAAAGATGGCTGAGGGGATGGTGCCTGTCAGTTGGTTGTTGTTGAGTAGACTGCAAGGCATGGCAGAGGGTACATGGGCTGAGGTGTGCATTAAGCATGTGCGGCTAGGACCCAGGACTGCGTGCATGGTGCATCCTTAAGATGCCGCTGCTACCTTTTCTCTGCACAGGACCGAAGGTGGCTTTCGTACACAACAGCCCACCCTCTTCAGATGGGAGCAGTTCATGGTTATGTGCTGATGGCAGGCATTGTGGGCAGCTGTAGCAAAATATGGCTCACTCACATGCCGTCGATGGTGGTGAGTTTTGAAATGGAGTCGGGAATCGACCCTGTGAAGTTGTTGCAGCTGAGATCTCTGAGTCACACAGGTGAGGCAGCAATGACATAGGCTGACGTGAGTGGGCGGCTGAACACGATCCTTATTATGGGTGCAATGCAATACATGTGAATGCACGGCACGGCAGGAACCCCATGGTGCAAAGAGCAAGATCTAGCACATGATCTTTAGAGTGGGACAGGGAGGGAGGAAAGGACTATGGGAAGGCTTACAACGATTTAAAATTGACGTTCCAGTGTGAGAAGTCTGGTAAGGGGCCCGTGAAGTCATTTCCTCCCTATGAAAGAGGAGCGAATAGACAATCGATGGGCATCAACGCTAAGCATAAGAGGAAAGGGTAGCACCAGGCATACACAGTGGTTGCAACACACACAGTGGTTGCACTACTTACAGGTAGTAGAGATAAGAGTTGGTTCTGAGAGTCGCTGGGAGTTCCCCAGACAAGAAGTTGTTAGTTACATCCCTATGTTGGGAAGGAGGAGAGGGGATATAGAGGGAAGGTTGGATGCATCTGGTAGAGTAAACCCTAGAAAACTTCCAAATAACATACTTGCATTGTGGGCTCCTACGAAACAGGCGACTAGCGGGCATGCAAATCCAAAGCAACTAGCAGGCTTGCGAATTTCGGATCAAGTTGTTGGCAATGACGCAAAGTCCGTGCAAATTACCATTTGTTTCTCGGAGATTGTTGTAATCAGTTTGTGTGGGCACTCACTCAGGTCTTCAACATTTTATTGAAAGAAAGAGCTGAAGGCGCAACAAGGTGGAATTTGAAGAAAAGGATCTTCTGAATTTGGGAGTAATGGAGCTACGCTACTTACAGCCAGCCCACCGAATTCTGAAACAGGACCGATGGGATGACTCCACTGAATTTGTTGTCATTGAGATTTCTGGTAAATGGTATCAAGAGCCTCAAAGTGACCTCGAGTTTTTAAAGCAGAAGGCTACAGCATGGAAGACTTGCTAGTCAACGACGCTCAGCCCCGAATCACGGTCCTACTTTGGCAAATCTTAGTCTCCTGTTCACGTCCCGTCCCTTTTGATCCAATTCCCAATACTCTTCTCCTTAATTTGTGCAGGATGAAGCAGCGGCGCCACTCACATCTGTTCCAAGTGGACAAGATTGGTCAATTCACTGGGAATGCTCCCTGTGAAACTGTTGTTTCCCATGCTCCTACCATGAACATTCCAATTGCAATTGCCCCATATGAGTTGTTCCGAAAGTTGTTTCAGGGGGTACTGGAATGAAGAGATGGCAGCATTTGTTCCATAAGTGCAACCCCCGCTTGTTCTAGACTGCGAGTGAAAGTCTTACAGGAGTCTAAGACTCTTAAGGTGCAGGATAGCATCCGGGAAGCTTCCAGTAAAGCTGTTGTTTCCAATGTCCCTGAACGGGATCCAAGATACAGCATGTGGTGGGAGTCGATGAAACAAATACATGGAGAAGGCATATGGGAAAGAACACACTCAGGTACAGGCTAAAGGTGTAAAAACGAATACGGTTTCAAATACGGTTTTTTATACGAGTATTTCACGAATAGTAGGCAATTTCGTATTTGGCCGAATAGCCCTCTTCTACCGAATCCGAATACGGTTCAAATATCTGGTTCACGAATACTGTTTGAATACCTGGATCTGTGTCAAATACGAATACGAATACGGTTTTTACCATACATAGAACCTTGGGCCAGGGTTCTTAATAGGCCGTAAGCACCGCCGGTGCTTCCATTGCTGATGATATGAGTGAAACATAAGAAACGCACCTTCAGAAATCTAGGAGCACAGAGATTGAAATAGTCAAATACTTATACGAATATCCGAATATTCGGCTGGCGAATATCGAATATGTCAAATAGTCAGTTATTGAATAAAAGTCGAATAAGCAGTGATTTCGTATTCGTTTTTTATTTGGTATTTGTCGAATACCGAACACGAATACGAATATGCTGGTATTTGTTTACACCTTTAGTACAGGCCACTGCACACATGCACATGTGGGCACAAAACGATGGCATGCACACACAGATTGAATGTGTGAAATATGGTGTGCATGCTCATAAACGGAGGGTACATATGCACCCGTATATTGGCCTATGCACATAAGCGTTTATGCACCATGACATGAGTTGACAATACATGAGATGATTATAAGAACAGACAAAATGTTACTTGGGTGCCCTTAAAATAGGGGCAGTCACAACGTGAAGTGGACTGTTGCAGCATCCCATCGACTCGTTTAGGTTCGATGAAAGAAGCTGCCGCACAGATGAGGGGAGATAGATTGAGTGAACTTACAGGTCTTCGAGGCCAGTAATTGCTGAAAAAGACGTCGGAAACACACCAGAGAACTTGTTGTTATGAAGGTATCTGAAAAGAAATACCGGAGAAAGCATCTCAGATGTTTCACACAGCCAAAATCAAGGGAAGAGGTGGAGAGCAATGTGAGGGCCAATAGAAGGCTGCTGAGGTGGGAAAGAGGGAGGAAACTCACGCGATGTAGAGCCATGTCATCTGAGTCACCACATCAAGGCCTGAGCTGAGTCTGTTGGCACCAATGTCTCTGTCAAGTGGAGCACACGTATGCAAAGGCAACTAGCATACAGGTATACTCCCTCAGTTCACAGCACTTGTTTGGGACAGGTTATGAAATATTTGACCTGGCCGAAAACACTCGGTTGAGTCGACAAGGTGAAAACAAAACCTTTAAAGCTCGCGTCGCAAATTTCCAACCGTGTAACACATGGTTGGGTTTGCCCGTCTGTGATTGGGTAACTCATGACGAAATATTTGATGAGTGGGTGAAAAAAGCACAGCGAACTCCCTAACAGTCGAGGCCAAAACAAACCAGGGTGGGTTGGTTTGGGTGGAAAACAAGCCAAGGGAGACAGGTTTGGTCCCGGGTTCTGTCAACGTTGAGTTCAGTGTCTCATATTTTCGAGAGTTGAAAATGCTTGGTGTGCACGGGGAAGTGTGCGACAGCCAACTTTCCCAGCCCACACCTTGCCTTGGTGTGCTTTGCGACAAACTTCGTTGTTACCGGATTCCAACCATGTAACACTTGGTTGGATGGCAGAAATATGAGACGCGAGCTTTAAGTTTCAGGGCCCTTATAGACACGAGGCAAGATTCAGGGCCCTTAAAACTCGTCCACAGGTGAGCTTTAAGTTTCAGAGCTTTCAAGTTTGAACTCACTCACCTGTGGACAAGTTTTAAGAAAAAAGGCAGCCGAGTTAAGAACTAAAACAAAACAAAAAAAGGGCACTTGTCCACAATGACAACAAGTTTCAGCTTGGACTAAGACCCCAAAAAAAAAAAAAAAAAAATCTTAACCGAGTCCAACTCGGCTCGCATCACTACTCGACAGAATATTGTCACAAAGGAGGCAAGTTATACTCGTTTTATTACTTTGTACATGTATATAACGCTGGGGACGCAGTGAACAACCAGTAACATGTGATTTGAGGTTTTGCAATCGATTCTGTTAGTGCAGCAGTTTCGTACTGTAGGAGCGGGAAGAGGTAGAACGGGGGAGTGCAGCGATGGTAAACGGGTAAATCGGTAAAAGGGGGTGAGGGACATACAGATGGCCCATGTTAGTGAGGCGAGTGAATGTGTTTGGGATGCCTCCTGTGAACTGATTGAAGGCTAGTTCACTGCAGCCAAGGCAGCCAAACAATGATCGAGCACATTGCAGCAGATTGGAAAGCGAGTGACAAATGCTTCAGGAACTAGAGGTAGACTGAACTGAACAGCTTGGAGGAGAGCCCAAGGGGCGAACAGGACTGAAGGTTTGAAGATGCAAAAAAGATGGGCCAGCATGGGAATCTCACAGGTAATAGAGGTTGGGAAGTGCAATGTGTGGTGGGATGGGCCCACTGAAGTTATTGTGGCCAAGCTTTCTGGACAGGCAGGGCGGACAGGAGAGGCGGGTAGAGATTTATTATGTGAACGTCACTCACGAAGAGAGGTGTGGTGTTTGTAAAAAGGGAAAGAGTGGAGCTAAGGGTGCAAGGCCATGGGAAAATAGTGACCAAGACACAAAGCGGGGCAAGAATGAAAGGAGGGTGGAGAATAAAAGGAGGCGCGAGGGATGAAGTTGAAAGAGAGAAAGAAAAGATTTTGAAACTGACATACAGATAGGAACAAAAAGAGCAAAACAGATAGCGAGTTTGGTCAACAGAGAGGGGGTCTTGGCATGGCAGGTTAAGGCAGGACCAATGAGACAGACATTGTGAGGATGTTGGTGGTGTCGATGTGAGGTGTCGAAGAAGCGGTGTGTGTGAGTGGGTATTACATAGGGGTGATTGGAAGCGTTTTGAGTTTATATTGCTAAGGTGGGAATCTGGTAGCTTGTTAGGGAGCCTCATGGCATGGCAATGACTTGCTAACACGGCATTGAGCTGGAAGTATGGCGCTGCAGGCAGTTTGTAAGCACGGCACCGGTGACCCATCACAGTGGGGTGGGGGCTTCGTGCAAACAATCCAAAGGGTGCACAGGTGTCATAAATTGCCTGCAGCGCCATACTTTTCATGGCTTTCCCACTTGGTCGGCTGAAAGCATCAAGGTTGGCAGAGGCAATCAAAGGACGTCCGAAGGGAGAAATCTAGAGAGCTCCGATTGCAGAAAGGAAGCACAGCAAAGGAAAATGGTTAAGCAGGGAATGCATGTAGTGAAGGGAAAAGAGAGGAGCGGATGCATGAAAATGTACTGATCAAAGAAGGTGCGGGAAGTAAAACAGCTGGGGTTGGTTTGGATAGGTGGAGCAGGAGGCGGAGCGGAGGGGAGAGTGACGTACAGTGACTTGATGGTGGCAAATGCAGGTATTGTACCAGACACTTGATTTGTGGGTTAGTTGAGATGAGATTTCCCACAACCAACTCACAAAGGAAGGGAAGAGTGACGTACAACGACTTGATGTTGGTGGCAAATGCAGGTATTGTACCAGACAGTTGATTCCGCGAGAGGTCTCTGCATTACAGGGGGGCAGGACATGTGGTGTGCTGTGCGGAGTGAGGAAGGGAGAGACGAGGCAGGGATATAGACAAGGCTAGACTGAGGGTTAGACAATGGGAAGAAGTGACACGGGAAGCTTACAGTATAATTAGACTTGTTAGGCCCAAGAACGTGGTCGGAATGGTTCCCTGCAATTGGTTGGACCTCAAAGATCTGTTAAAAACACACACACACACACACACACACACACACACACACACACACGCGCGCACACACACACACACACACACACACACACACACACACACACAAACACACACACACACACACACACACAAAGAAAAGCAACAAATATTGTGATGTCCCATACAGGCCTTAAGCGAAGTACAAAACTGCCTTCTCTTTGTGTGAAAAATGGATAGGCTTGTACCAGTAAAATAGTCGCAGTTCGAAAGGTTCAGCTTCAAGCCACTTGTGGTACGTCCAAGTGAACCGGGGAAACATTTTTAGGGTATCCCAAATCCTTTCCTAAACCCGTGTAATGAGCTTGTTTGGTGGGCGAACCAACATGTTTGGTTCGGCCCGAACGCTTTTTGAAATAAGTGTTTAGTGCCCGACTCTTTGCCTTTGTGGGCAAAGATGCTTGTGTTGATCAAGTGGGCGTAATTCGCTAGTCACATAAGATGCAACCACAATTTCGCAATCTATCTGAGTGCCTTACTCCCTGTATGGTTTGGGGAAATAAGAAAACAGCGTTGTAACGCTTGTTAACACATTCGTATTTGCCGACGCACTAAATTTTAAGCATGGTCGTCTTCGACGCGGCCGAACCGGATCGACTTTTCGCTCAAGCCTAGGCTGTGATGGCAGACATGTGTTTCCCGTGCTATTTGCGAGTGTTCCATTTTGTAATTATGCGAACATAAGCCGAAGCGGGCAGGAACACTTATGTTTTTCTGAGCAGGCATAATATATTATGTTCAAGTTGATTGTCATTGATTGAGCTTAGGCACTCCTTTGTCCCTGAAAACCCCACCCAAATGTCGAATTTAGCGTGCAGTTTGCAAAATTTAGCTTCTAACAGGACCAAGAAGTCCCGACCCGCTCGTACACGAGCTGATTTCGAATTATCGGCTTGATTTCTGATCCGACCCGGCATAACATGAAAGAATCGGATCTCGGGTCGACCCGACCCGGCCGGGTATACGCGACCCAACATGGCTGGGTCGGCGTTTGGGAAAGGCCGGCCTGACTTGAGAAAAAACACAGATCGGGCTGAGTCGACCTAACCCGACCAGAGATCCTTGAATTGCTGCAGGTTGGCATGGGCTCGCTGACATGAAGGTGGGTAATTTGCAGGGGGGATATGCATGAGCAGAAAAACGAACTGCGGTTTGGTGCGGTTCGGTTCGTATCTACCCAAACCGAACAAATATTTCTGGGCCACTGGCTCACTAATTATTCTCTTCCAATCCAATCAGTTAGAAGATTAGCCAGCATGACACCATAGTAGAAAAACTGCATGACAGCTTGGAAGAATGGCATGGCAAGCAGTGACTCACAGCTCCTGCAGATTGACCAGATTGGCCCAGCTCTTGGGAAGGTAGCCATCCAGGTTGTTTCCCTTAAGGGACCTGCAGAGCGCGGGAGCAGGAAACAGATGGTCACCTGGGCTTCTACCTTGTGAGAAACTAGGGCACAACACACGAGCGCTTTGATTTCCCTACTCAAAATTGCGATGCATCAAGCATTCTAGATGGCGACAGCAACTGCAACTGCAACTGCAACTGCAATAGCAACATCAACAGCAACAGCAAAGACATGAAAACAATCCACCCTTTTTTCAATATAACATTGCCTTTTACACTCCCGTATGTTACATTAAAAAATGGTTATGCTTTTTCCACCTTAGTATGACATAAAGGGAGACATTAAGCATCCTCATCTGGTTAGGAGCTAACTCTGAGCGAGCATGCTTGCTGCACTCCCACGTTCGATAAACTCACATGCTAGTGAGTGCTGTGAGGTGAGAGATGTCATCATTCAGCAAACGTCCCTGCCGGAGTGGATAGTCCGATTCCAGGTTCCTGCGCACAAGGGAAGGCCAGAAGAGTTGCCGCACTGAGACAAGCCTGGTTAGCCATGGCACATGTGAGGTGCGAGGGGTGTGGTGTCTGGATTGGAAATGGTGGAGAGCGAGAGTAAAGCAGGAGGAGAGGAGCTCACAGGTACTGAAGGTTGGAGAGTTGAGTGACCCAGTTGGGAAACTCCGCAGCACGAAGGAAGGAGAGATCCCTGCAGGGAGGAAGGCTAGAGCATGTCACGTAGACTATCATGTCAGAGCAGGTGGGGAGGTGTTTTTTTGTGCAGATTATGAGCTTGCTCCATGTGTCCGATCTTTGGACTGGTGTGATCTTACAGTGTACTGAGGGCAGTCAGGTATTGAATCTCTCTGGGTATCTCGCCTGCCGCGTTGGGGAGCGAACTGAGTTTCCTGTGCTCATGCACATGTAAATAGGCAAAGGTATGTGCACTACATGTGCCAGATGCATGTCGGTATAGAACAACATGGCGACATGCAATACCGTCGTATTCTTGCCACTGCTCCATTGATATCAAGAATTATCGGAGCATATTGCACAATTTACAATACCTTCTCAAAAACAAAACGACCTTTTTATTAACCTTTGTGACATATAAAACAGAAGGCGAACAAAACATTTAGAAACGGACCACAATGTGCTTCTGCACTGCGATAATACTTACAGTTGCTGAAGGCTTCTCATGTGAGAAAGAACGTGCAGGGAGGACAAGTCACCAGTTAATGGCAAGTACTGTAGACTCCTGGGTGATGGAAAGGAAGTGAGGCATGTATGGAGACATGAGGGGTGTAGAATGGGAACATTGGACTTCTGAAGGGACAGGGAGAGAGGACAAGTCCCCTGTTAATGCCAATTACTGTAGACCTTGGCATATGCTGGAACGATGTGGCATGCAGCATGGCTGGACATGGCTTGCATGCGATCGTGGAATGCACGTGAGAGTGACATCGCTTGCTCAGGATAGACATGGCTAGTGGGGCGAACAGTATTTGCATGGTGTACAGTGTTTGTTTGCAAGGCATGCAGTGTGTGCAGGGTTTACAGTCTTCACTTCACTGGTCACAGGGCGTACAGTGTTCGCAGGGCGTACAGTGTTCGCAGGGCGTACAGTGTTCGCAGGGCGTGCAGTGTTCGCAGGGCGTACAGTGTTCGCAGGGCGTACAGTGTTCGCAGGGCGTACAGTGTTCGCAGGGCGTACAGTGTTCGCAGGGCGTACAGTGTTCGCAGGTTGGTGAGGGAGGAGAGCCAAGCCAGTCCTTCCAGAGTGCCAGTCAACCTGCTTTCAATTCCAGGCGTTCCAAAACCTCTGAGTGCACGCATGGCATGCAAGCAGCGATAGAACGTATGCAGGGTGTGAGTGGCGCAGTGGGAAAGGGGAACACATGCCACAAGGTTGCAGGGTGTAGGAGAATCGAAATTCAGCATTTGTAAGCGACTCGAGCAGGAGTAGTTGAGTGGTGGTGAATGAAGAAGCACGAGGTGTGAAAACAAAGAAGCAAATGACTTCAGTCTTGAGAATGGGCTGGGGATAATGAAGCTGGAGATAATGAAGCTGGGGATAATGAAGCTGGAGATAGTATAGGATCAGCAGGTGCAGAGGAGTAATGAAGGGCAGAGGATGGGCCTCGTCCAACAGTAAGCGGCCATGGTTTGGAGCCATGGAAGAGCAGAGCAGCACGAACAGGTGGGTGAGGCCGGTGAGACTGCCGAGGGGTGGAATGGGCCCCACCGGCCTGATGAGGGACAGATCGCTGTGGGATGGGATGGGAGCATGGGAACAACAATGGAAAGGCAACGTACATACAGCATGGAGGCTACGCTTTTCTCAAGTTAGTGCACTGCACAAGAGGTCAGCAAGAGGTCATGGTAGTTGTGTTGTGTGGAAGGTTACGGACGAGATGGAAGGACGGATCAAAATGAGGTTGAGGCAAGGGCATTGGCAAACGAGGGAGAGGCATGGTAGATGCAAGATGGATGTAGTGGATGGAGAGGGGGGGGAGTGGGGGGAAGTGAGGGGTCGGGAAGGGGGTGTGGGGGTTGGTGACGCACAGGTATTGCAGAGCGGAAAGACCGGTGATGGAGGCAGGTATGAAGGCACTGGGGGAAGTCATTACTCCGTCTTGACTTGAATATCTGGCAACACATTCGTGCGTGCACGCACGCAAACCATCTCCCATTCCTCCCCCATCGCCCACCCTAGTTCCCTTCCCCAATATCTAGTCCTCCCCCATCCCACCACCCACATCCTTCAACCCATCCCCCCCAATCCGGATTGCAATACTTCCACAAGCACACAAATTCCAACACAATCATTGCAAGAGCAGCAGCCAGCGGAGGGGAAATACAGTGATACACTGTGGGGGAAAGGAGAGGACAGAGGACCAAGGAGGGGTAATGACGGAGTACCGAGGAGGCATAGAAACGCCCGGCCCCAACTACCTGGGAGTTCGGTTACCATATTCGAGCTATCGCCCCACCACATTTCCAGGGGAAAAACATGGCCAGCTGGGATTAGAACCCTGGGCTATGGATACCAATACAACGTTTGTGCCTACACCACGGGCGAACTGGGAAGCAATAACAGCAACGAGGGGCAATTAGGACAGGTTAACAAAGGGCAAACACACAGCACCGAGCAAAAACTTAGGGCATATCATCAAGGACAACGAGAGGCGGCAAGGCAATGATCCTCACATGGAAACGACGAGCCCTTTGGGGCTGCAGATGACGCCTCCCATGCAGAGCACGCCGTGGTGGCGTTGCTGTTGCCTTCCCAAATGTCCCACGCCTCCTTCAGCTCAAGCAGCACCTTTACTGCAGGCAGGCACAACGGGGAAATGAAAGCACTTTTTTTGCACATTTTACCGGGAAATGTGACCAAAAAAGGACGGCGGCTTCTCTGCCTGCACATCATGCCGCCTGGGTCGGTGTGTCGTCGCACTTTGAAGGGCAGCCCCGGGCGCGCGCATTCTGTCTCCGCTCATGGGAAGTGGAGCTTTGAGTGCAAACTCCGGACTCCCATTTGGAATGGGAGGATTATCACGTGAGAAAGCTCGCTGAGAGCCTCTGAACTGGACAAACCCCGACTCACATTGCGAGTTTTCGAGAACGATTTCAGCGCTCGCGTCGACCGCGGCAGCGCCGCCGGTGGCGAGCTTTAAAGAGAGCGTTGGGCGTGGGTGGGCCGAGCGCGTGACAGCAGGCGTTGTTTGGACAGAAGCCGACTCGGAGCATCTCGACTTCAGACACAGCGACAAGTCCAAACCCAACCCCAGTCACCTGACTCACTCGTCAAAAGTTTATACCTAGCCAAAAGTATACTGAAGGACATACCTCCTCGCCACTATGCCCACACCCACGGCGTCCTTACTCAGCACTAAAAAGGTAACTTCCAAAAGCGGTGCAAGCCATTGCGATTATAGCTCTTCTCACGCATAGGTCATACGCCGACAGAGCCATTGTTTATTTTTCGGCGCCTGATACACGGAGCATTCCGCATCAAAGTGAGAACGCCTTAGCCATTCCCTTTCCTGCGGCCCGATTTCCCTTCGCCGACGCAAAGTTCCTCTTTCCCGTCGCCTAATCCCCCTTCCCGGCGCCCGATTTCCCTTTCCCGCCGCCATGAAACCCCAGTCACGCTGCCCGATTCGGAACGCCGCTCGACTCCTTGTTCTCGCCGCCCGATTCCCCGTCATGCCTCGCGATTCTTCTTTCCCGCCGCCCGATTTCCCTTTCCCGTCGCCCTACTCCCCTTCCCGTCGCCCGATTCATGTTCCCCCGCCGCCCGATTCATGTTCCCGCCGCCCGATTCATGTTCCCGCTGCCCGGTTCCCCTTTCCCGCCGCCCGAATCTCACTCCGCGCCGCCTGAATCCCCTTTCCCGCCCATTGATTCCAGGCGGGCCGCCCGTCCGCCCCTTCCCGCCGTCCGATTCCCGTTCCCGCCGCCCGCTTCCCCTTTCCCGCCGCCCGATGCGCCTTCCCGCCGCCCGCTTCCCCTTTCCCGCCGCCCGATGCGCATTCCCGCCGCCCGATCCCCTTTTCCCGCCGCCTCCCTTTTCCCCTGTCCGTCGCCCGACCCCCCTTCCCTTCCTTCTCTCCCTTCCATCCCTTCTCTCCCTTCCCTCCCTTCTCTCCCTTCCCTCCCTTCTCTCCCTTCCCTCCCTTCTCTCCCTTCCCTCCCTTCTCTCCCTTCCCTCCCTTCTCTCCCTTCCCTCCCTTCTCTCCCTTCCCTCCCCTCTCTCCCTTCCATCCCTTCTCTCCCTTCCCTCCCTTCTCTCCCTTCCCTCCCTTCTCTCCCTTCCCTCCCTTCCCTCCTTTCCCTCCAATCCCTCCCTTCTCTCCAGTCTCTCCCTTCCCTCCCTGTCTCCCTTCCCTCGCTTCCCTCCCTTCCCTCCCTTCTCTCCCTGCTCTCCCATCTCTCCTTTCCCTCCCTTCTCTCCCATCCCTCGCTTCCCTCCTTCCCTCCCTTCCCTTCCTTCCCTCCCTTCTCTCCCTTCCCTCCCTTCTCTCCCCCCTTACCTTCTCTCCCTTTTCTCCCTTCCCTCTCATCCCTCCATGCAATCTCCTGTCTCTCCTTTCTCTCCCTTCTCTCCCGTCCCTCCCGTCCCTCCCGTCCCTCCCTTCCTGCCCTTCTCTCCCTTCAATACCTTCGCTCCCTTCCCGCCCTTCTCTCCCTTCAATACCTTCGCTCCCTTCCCGCCCTTCTCCTCCCCCCCACCGTATCTCCGTTACCTTCCATTTCATCCCTACTCTTCCTCGTCTCTCCCTCCCGACATCTCTCCTGCTTCTCCTTTCACTCCCTTTCATCCCTTGCCTCCCTTGACTACCTTCCCTCCCTTCTCTCCCTTCGATAGAAGTCTCTCCGTTCCCTCCTTTTCTCTCCCTTCTCTCCCGTGTCTCCCTTCCTCGCCCTTCACTCCCTTCCCTCCCTTCTCTCCCATGTCTCCCTTCCTCTCCCTTCACTCCCTTCCCTCCCTTCTCTCCCTTCCCTCCCTTCCCACCCTTCTCTCCCTGCCCTCCCTTCCCTCCCTTCTCTCCCTTCCCTCCCTTCTCTCCCTTCTCTCCCTTCTCTCCCTTCTCTCCCTTCTCTCCCTTCTCTCCCTTCTCTCCCTTCTCTCCCTGCCTTCCTGTCCCCCATCCTTCCTTCCTTACGCACTCCTCCAGCCATTCTCTCCTCTTGCAATCCTCACTGCCATCCTTGCCTTCCGCTAAACCTGTAACCAAGCCCCTTTCGATTCTCTTGTCGTCACCTCCCAAGCAACAGCGGCATTGCCATGGGAAATTTCAACATGCATCTCCCACCTACCCCCACCTACTCCCATCTCCCCTCCCCCTACCACCTACTCCAATCTCACCTCCCCTTTCCCCCCCTTACCACGGGATTTCAGCCCACCACGCCTCCCCATACCACCTACTCACATCGTTGCTCCCCTCCCCCTACCACATACAACATACTCCCATCTGACCTCCCCTTCCCCTGCCACCTACTCCCTTCTCATCTCCCCTCCCCTACCACCTCTCCTGGCCCTATCAGGCACTCTTTGCTCACCTCCCATCCCCCTACCAGGGGCATTCTTCTCACCTCCCCTCTCCTACCTCTTCGTACCCCCTCCTCTACCAAGGGCGCTCTGCTCACACCCTGCCCCTCCAGGTCCCCCACACTTATGTGTTTCTTTCTTAGTTGAATCTGACCTCCTACAGCCCTCACATTGTATTCCCTTGCTCGATTTCTGTGCTTGTGTTGCAGGTGGGGTGCTTTCCTGACTGCACATCCTACGCCTCACAGGGCACATAACAGCCTGCAACCTGGGCTTGGATAGGCTGCGATTGCAATGGGAATGGCAGGGGAGCATGGCAACGGCTACGAGCAAAGCAGCTTCAAGCCTCTCGGTCAATCGGCCTGTCCTTATACGATCCAAGTATTCAATCTTCCGCCTTGAACATTAGCACATAAACACACCCTCTTTTCCCCTTTTAGGTATTTCTTACTGACCCAACACATCGTGCCATCAAACTCATGTTTGTGTTTTTACCAACTGGTTATTGAACGTAGTGCTTTGTGACATCATTACAGGTTGCTGACTTCAACACTTTTTGTAGCCAGTTCCCTACCATAACACAGTATGTAAACAAAGCACTACGTTCAATAACCAGTTGGTAGAGTGAGGGATGAGGAGAAGAAAGGATGGGGTGAGAAGGGATGCGGAGAAGAAAGGACGGGGTGAGGAGGGATGAGGAGAAGAAAGGATGGGGTGAGGGATGAGGAGAAGAAAGGATGGGGTGAGGGATGAGGAGAAGAAAGGATGGGGTGAGAAGGGATGCGGAGAGGAAAGGGTGGGGTGAGGAGGGATGAGGAGAAGAAAGGATGGGGTGAGGAGGGATGAGGAGAAGAAAGGAGGGGAATCAGCGGGGGAAAGCAGGGGAAGTACGGGGGGGAAAGGCGAGGCAGAGAAGTGGAGGAAAGGAGGGGAAGCAGTGGGGGAAAGGAGGGGAAGCACGGGGGGAAAGGCGAGGCAGAGAAGTGGAGGAAAGGAGGGGAAGCAGTGGGGGAAAGGAGGGGAAGCACGGGGGGGAAAGGCGAGGCAGAGAAGTGGAGGAAAGGAGGGAAAGCAGTGGGGGAAAGGAGGGGAAGCACGGGGGGGAAAGGCGAGGCAGAGAAGTGGAGGAAAGGAGGGGAAGCAGTGGGGGAAAGGAGGGGAAGCACGGGGGGAAAGGCGAGGCAGAGAAGTGGAGGAAAGGAGGGGAAGCAGTGGGGGAAAGGAGGGGAAGCACGGGGGGGAAAGGCGAGGCAGAGAAGTGGAGGAAAGGAGGGGAAGCAGTGGGGGAAAGGAGGGGAAGCACGGGGGTGAAAGGCGAGGCAGAGAAGTGGAGGAAAGGAGGGGAAGCAGTGGGGGAAAGGAGGGGAAGCACGGGGGTGAAAGGCGAGGCAGAGAAGTGGAGGAAAGGAGGGGAAGCAGTGGGGGAAAGGAGGGGAAGCACGGGGGGAAAGGCGAGGCAGAGAAGTGGAGGAAAGGAGGGGAAGCAGTGGGGGAAAGGAGGGGAAGCACGGGGGGGAAAGGCGAGGCAGAGAAGTGGAGGAAAGGAGGGGAAGCAGTGGGGGAAAGGAGGGGAAGCACGGGGGTGAAAGGCGAGGCAGAGAAGTGGAGGAAAGGAGGGTAAGCAGTGGGGGAAAGGAGGGGAAGCACGGGGGGGAAAGGCGAGGCAGAGAAGTGGAGGAAAGGAGGGGAAGCAGTGGGGGAAAGGAGGGGAAGCACGGGGGGTCAAGGCGAGGCAGAGAAGTGGAGGAAAGGAGGGGAAGCAGTGGGGGAAAGGAGGGGAAGCACGGGGGTGAAAGGCGAGGCAGAGAAGTGGAGGAAAGGAGGGGAAGCAGTGGGGGAAAGGAGGGGAAGCACGGGGGTGAAAGGCGAGGCAGAGAAGTGGAGGAAAGGAGGGGAAACAGTGGGGGAAACAGTGGGGGAAAGGAGGGGAAGCACGGGGTGAAAGGCGAGGCAGAGAAGTGGAGGAAAGGAGGGGAAGCAGTGGGGGAAAGGAGGGGAAGCAGTGGGGGAAAGGAGGGGAAGGAGTGGGGGAAAGGAGGGGAAGCAGTGGGGGAAAGGAGGGGAAGCAGTGGGGGAAAGGAGGGGAAGCAGTGGGGGAAAGGAGGGGAAGCAGTGGGGGAAAGGAGGGGAAGCAGTGGGGGAAAGGAGGGGAAGCAGTGGGGGAAAGGAGGGGAAGCAATGGGGGAAAGGAGGGGAAGCAGTGGGGGAAAGGAGGGGAAGCAGTGGGGGAAAGGAGGGGAAGCAGTGGGGGAAAGGAGGGGAAGCAGTGGGGGAAAGGAGGGGAAGCAGTGGGGGAAAGGAGGGGAAGCAGTGGGGGAAAGGAGGGGAAGCAGTGGGGGAAAGGAGTGGAAGCAGTGGGGGAAAGGAGGGGAAGCAGTGGGGGAAAGGAGGGGAAGCAGTGGGGGAAAGGAGGGGAAGCAGTGGGGGAAAGGAGGGGAAGCAGTGGGGGAAAGGAGGGGAAGAAGTGGGGGAAAGGAGGGGAAGCAAGGGGGAAAGGAGGGGAGGCAGGGACGGAAATGAGGGGATGCAGGGGCGGAAATGAGGGGATGCGTGGGGGGAAAGGAGGGGAAGCAGGGGCGGAAATGAGGGGATGCGTGGGGGGAAAGGAGGGGAAGCAGGGGCGGAAATGAGGGGATGCAGGGACGGAAATGAGGGGATGCGTGGGGGGAAAGGAGGGGAAGCAGGGGCGGAAATGAGGGGATGCGTGGGGGGAAAGGAGGGGAAGCAGGGGCGGAAATGAGGGGATGCAGGGGCGGAAATGAGGGGATGCGTGGGGGGAAAGGAGGGGAAGCAGGGGCGGAAATGAGGGGATGCAGGGGCGGAAATGAGGGGAAGCAGGGGCGGAAATGAGGGGATGCGTGGGGGGAAAGGAGGGGAAGCAGGGGCGGAAATGAGGGGAAGCAGGGGCGGAAATGAGGGGATGCGTGGGGGGAAAGGAGGGGAAGCAGGGGCGGAAATGAGGGGAAGCAGGGGCGGAAATGAGTCCAAACGTGTGGACGCGGCCTTACGCATTTCGTGTATTGGAGAAATCCGTGAGGCGAGCAGCGCGTTACTGGTGGCTGCAGTAGGATGGCTGGCTCGCGCGCGCTGGAGAGCGCGTGCTTGCAACCGCGTGCTGTTTGCTGGGGCATCTAAGCGTCACATGCGCTCGCTGTGCTGGCGCGCCGCGCGGTATGCAGGTGCCGCTTTGCGGCGCGCGTTTTGCTGGCAAGCGCAGCTCTGCTGAGCGCGCTATGCTAGCGCGCGCGGAATGCCAGCATAGCGCGCACAAGTGCCGCGCGCGGATGCCAGCACAGCGCGCGCAAGTGTTGCGCGCGGAATGATAGCGTAACTGGCGCAAGTCCCGCTAACGGAATGCTATCATTGCTGGCGCCAGTGACGCGCGCGGAATGACACGACACACACGGAGTGCCACCATCGCTGGCGCTAGTGACGCTCGCAGGCGTCGCCTGTTCTGCACACGGCTAAATACTCACCCGCGTCTATGTATGTGGTCGCGCTGCTGGCCTAGCACCCTCCGGCCTGCTGCCTAGTACCTAAACTAGTAGCTACTAGATGCGTATTCCCCGTAGTGTGTGATGTGGCAAGTTCGGTGACGGGAGGTGTTTCCCATTTTGTGACCCACAACCTACCCAACCCTGCTCCTCTTACAACGGAAGCGCTCCAGTTTTTCGCCAACACTCTCGCTATTCTGTTTACATTTTCGTTGAGGCGAAATCGCCTGGCACACTGTACAGAAACAACAGTGCTGCCAAATGTATACTGCTGCTTTAAAATGCCCACATTCACACCCTTTAAAGCCCGCGCCTAGAATGGCAAGGGTTCAGGATTACTGAACTTGAAAGGGGGTTGGGCGAAGGATGACGAGAGCGCAATTCGCCGGAAAGAGGTGGCGAAGGTGGGGTGCTTCGAAGTTTTTCGTATTGTATGGGTTCCTAGTTCAGGAAACTTGAACAAACACAAGCGACAAACAAAACCAAACCACCATCCACGCAAGTCACACCACCAGCTTTCTATGATCGCGGACATGGCAGGAGCCTACTGATACGCAGCTCAACAACCAGCAATGCACTCGACGTGCATGACCTACCACATGCATTCGGTTTGTACCTACTAGACGAATTCTAAGGACGATCACGTAACGTCACGTCCGTCATCAGGTTTAGGCAACATAAGCGGGGTAACGCTATTGCCCACGTTTGGCGTTTTCAGGTGGCGAACGTCCATTCCAGCACAGAACGTTTCAGGCCACCAACACGGGAATAGCGGCGACACTCAACGGTTGTTGTGGTCACAAAACAGTCACGTCGCGTCCTTGTTCTCCGAAGAGAATCGACACTGCACGTAATTATCTGTAGAAACCACACCATTTGAGTGGCGAATGGATATGTGGCCCCGAACGTCAGAAGGAAAGCCTGCCCGTTAGCAACTGCAGCTCGACCACGGTGACGATTGCGCTGGTCGGGACACCGTTGCACGAGAAAAAGCGAACACACTCGAAAGTTGCGGAAGGGAGAGACTCGGACAGGAATACGCGGCCTGTGTGAGACGGCCCATAGAAGGCGCAACTACATAGGGATAGGGCGGAAGGCGAGAGCCACAACGGCGCGGACGGAAGGCGCGCACAGGGAAGACGCGGACGGGAAGGCGTTGACGGGCAGGCGCCATCAGCAAGGCGCGGACAGCAAGGCGGCGAAAAACAAGGCGCGGACAGCAAGGCGCGTCTTCTAACTAGACGGGAACGACAATCTGCTCAGTGCCGCCCGTACTCTAAACCATCCGGTGAGAAGCAATGTACGGGACGGGAAATGAGCAGAGAGGAGCCGAGCAACGATAAGTTAGGGGGTATTAGACTGAGGGGAGGCCGACCTCCCCTCAGTGATTGTGTATGAGGTGAGTGTGTGGGGGGTTTGAACTTCCCCCACTGGGCTGGACTTGAGAGGAGGCTAAGGGGAGGCCGACCTCCCCTCAGTGATTGTTTCCAAGGTGAGTGTGTGGGGGGGTCCCCCACTAGGCTGGATGGGATAAGAGGCTTGGGTGAGGCTACCCCCTCTCTGTGATTGTGTATGAGGTGAGTGTGTGGGGGGGTTGAACTCCCCCCACTGGGCGGGATTCTCTTAGGGGCTGAGGGGAGGCCGACCTCCCCGCAGTGATTGTGGATGAGGTTAATGTGTGGGGGGGTTGAACTCCCCCCATTGGGCGGGATTCTCTAAGGGGCTGAGGGAGGGCCGACCTCTCCTCAGCGATTGAGGATGAGGTGAGTGTGTGGGGGGGTTGAACTCCCCCCACTGGGCTGGATTCTCTTAGGGGCTGAGGGGAGGCCGACCTCCCCTCAGTGATTGTGGATGAGGTGAGTGTGTGGGGGGATTGAACTCCCCCCACTGGGCTGGATTCTCCAAGGGGCTGAGGGGAGGCCGACCTCCCCTCAGTGATTGTTTCCAAGGTGAGTGTGTGGGGGGGTTGAACTCCCCCCACTGGGCTGGATTCTCTAAGGGGCTGAGGGGAGGCCGACCTCCCCTCAGTGATTGTGGATGAGGTGAGTGTGTGGGGGGGTTGAACTCCCCCCACTGGGCTGGATTCTCTAAGGGGCTGAGGGGAGGCCGACCTCCCCTCAGTGATTGTGGATGAGGTGAGTGTGTGGGGGGATTGAACTCCCCCCACTGGGCTGGATTCTCTAAGGGGCTGAGGGGGGCATGGCGTAGGGAGAATGTCGCATGGGGCAACGGGAGGGAGAGACATGGGGTATAGGGCATGGGGATCGAGGAAACAGAGGGCAGGACACGTGCGGAAAAGGAGGGAAACAAGGGACAGGCACAGTGGGACGGACTATAGAGGAAGGGAGGGAGGGTAAATGGGAAAAGCGCATGAAATGACATGGGGGAAAGGGAAAGGGAAAATGGAGAGGCGATGACGGAAGGGGCGAGAGGCGGAGAGGATCGGGCCCAAAGGGGAGGGAGTGACGGGAGCGACGTGGGCGACGTCTCCCATTCCCTTCCGCCTTCCATTTCCCCCCTTCCCCCCAACATTCACAATGCCACATAGCCACGCAAACACGCGGCCATCACCTGCACTCTGCGTCACGGGAATGCACGCCAGTTGCATTAGTGGTAGACGGAAGCGGCGGGAGAGGGAGGGGGTGGGGGAGAGGGAAGGGAGGAGTGGGACAGTGAGGAAAGCAAGTGACTGTAATGATGAACAGGATTGATGTAGGCAACAGGCGGGAGTGAGTGAGGCAGGAGGGGAGAGAAGGCTCTTCAGTCCCCCTCCCAATTCTTCCCGGAGAATGGACAGATGGAAGGAAGGAAAGACGACGAGAAGGAAAGGAAGGGGAGGGGATGAGTGGGAAGGGAGGCGAGGCGAAGACAGAGAAGGGAAGGAGGGGACAGAGAGGGAAGTGAGGAGAGGAGCGGAGAGGGAAGGGAGGAGAGGGGAGATGGGAACATGTGTGAGCATGTCGTGTGTGTCGTGTGTGAGTGACGGGGAAGATGGGCAGAGGAGGAACCGGGGGGAGCGCAAAGGGGGAAGAGGGTAAGAGGAGCAGATATGAGCGACATGTGTTAGTGAGTCACGTGTGAGCGACATGTGCGAGCGACGTGCGTGGGTGATGGGAGTGAGAGAGCGACAGTCACTGAGTGAGCGAGGGAAGTGAGAGCGCGACGGAAGTGAGAGAGCGACGGGAGTGAGAGAGCGACGGGAGTGAGAGAGCGACGGGAGTGAGAGAGCGACGGGAGTGAGAGAGCGACGGGAGTGAGAGAGCGACGGGAGTGAGAGAGCGACGGAAGTGAGTGGGCGGCGGGAGAGAGAGAGAGCGACGGGAGAGCAAGCGCAAAGAAGTGAGAGAGCAACGGTAGAATGAGCGCGATGGGAGCGAGAGAGCGACGAGAGTGAGAGCGCGCCGGAAAGAGAGCGACAGGAGTGAGAGCGCGACGGGAGTGAGAGAGGGACGGGAGATGAGAGGGCGGCGGGAGTGAGAGAGCGACGGGAGTGAGAGCGCAAAGAAGTGAGAGAGCGAGGGTAGAATGAGCGCGACGGGGGCGCGAGAGCGACGAGAGTGAGAGCGCGCCGGAAAGAGAGAGCAACGGGAGTGAGAGGGCGGAGGGAGAGAGAGAGAGAGCGACGGGAGTGAGAGCGCAAAGAAGTGAGAGAGCGACGGTAGAATGAGCGCGACGGGAGCGAGAGAGCGACGAGAGTGAGGGCGCGCCGGAAAGAGAGAGCGACGGGAGTGAGAGTGTGACGGGAGTGAGAGCGCGACGGGAGGGAGAGCGCGACGGGAAAGAGAGTTTGACGGGAGAGAGAGAACGACGGGAGTGACGACGACGGGAGTGAGGGCGGGCCTTGAGTGATTGCGGACCGGCATTGAGTGCGGGCTAGGTTACCCTTCAGCGGCGACGAGTAAGTCTCACGGTGGCGATCAATCTGAGGGTCATGCCTTCCAAGCAATGTACGAGATCGGATGTGTTATGCGCGAAAAAGTCGCCGGGAAGTTTCGTCTTTATGTGCTACAAAAGTCTTAGCATACGGCAAGCAGATGGGCGCAACTATGCTGACTATTGACGAGAATATGGGCTATGGAGCCTTCTATGCTACGAGTCTAGAAAGGTAATGTCGAGTTTCAAGTTCTGAAAGTGTGAACAGTGATACTTGCCTTTGTTTGTTTCTGGCGAGGCTCGTCCGTGTTTTTGCTGTGGGGCATTTGGCCAATCACCTTCTGGCCCACCAACTCCCTTCCTGGTGGGTAGCGAGAGCTCAGCTTTCTGAATCTGGTTACCCTGTTCTTGACGAAAACAAGTTCAAGAATCTTGAAGTTGAACGTTTGCCATTATAGACTCGGGCTTTAACCAGGAAACATGGAACATGCCAACAGCTTCCTGTGGGCGGGACAAAGTTTCTGCTCTCTGCACCAACACACACACAACAATGGGTCAACACAAACATAAACCTACCAATGGCGGGTTAGTCAGCACTAACCTGAACCTACCGATGCCTTGATAATTAAAAAACTGCGTTCCAGGAACATCCGCCAGGAGCCGTGATAAACTTCAAGAATGGATTGAACTAAATACGAAAATAGACCTGCTGGAAAAAAAATAACGATATCGTCATAATAATCTCTGACGCTTGACATTAATCTTGAAATTCGCAGAAAGAAACGTTGTCATGCGCGCTGTATTCTGCAAAAACAATATATCACAAGGTCGCAGTAGCCAATGCATATATGAACGAAACGAAATATCGAGATTTGCACACCTGACTCGCACATGAAGAGCCAGCGAACGTAGCGCGAGAGATGGAAGCCTGTTCGTGAGTTGCATGCAGCCGGGCAACAGTCTCAGCAGAAACTGTCCGCCACAGCGGTCCCATGCTATCCTGCTAGAGGGAGGTGGTAAGGGAAAAATGAGACTTTTTAAGGAACAGGCACGAAGAGATTAACCAGAGCACCGCGCAAGGCCAATGTTTGAAGGAGACAAAACATGGAAATCGTGAACTGAAATGAGTGGGTATTTGAGTTGCGGGGTGCAGACTGAGAGTGGGAGAGAGAAGTGTCTCGCACACCAAGAGCCAGCGATGTGGTGTTATCTCGCAAGCTTCATACGGCGAGTTAGACTTCAAAGCAGAATCGTCCGCCACAGCAGTCTTTCAGTAGCCTGCAAGAGGAACAGTAAGAAAAAAACATTTAGTACGCGCATATGAGGCAGAATTGGATATATAGGAACAGCTAGAGGAGAGAGGAAGCTGAGTGATTGAAGAGAACGGTGGACTAAATTTCTGGGACTTGGTAATGAAGAGGTGACGAGCTGTGGATGGAGTTTGGAGAGGGAGAGGAGAGTCTCGCACACCAGAAGGCAGCAGTGTGGTGTTGTCTCACACGTCAGGATTGGCGAAATCACGGAACATTTTCGCGAGCTAGTTCAAACATGGTGTGGTTTGACGACTTCGACGAATTTGGAAACCCTACGCTATTTGTGTTCAGCTGCAGCTTGACGAAACTGGCGATCTGCGTCAGGATTGGCGAAATCACGGAACATTTTCGCGAGCTAGTTCAAACATGGTGTGGTTTGACGACTTCGACGAATTTGGAAACCCTACGCTATTTGTGTTCAGCTGCAGCTTGACGAAACTGGCGATCTGGAAACCCTACGATATTTGTGTTTCGATTTGCCGCACTGGTCCAAACCACATCCGCGCTGTCACATCTAATTGTGACACCGCAACTTCAGAAGTGACGCTGATATCTGACGCGTCAGCAGCACCTTATCTGATTCAGAAGTCGCTATAGCCTGCTTTGTTACAATGCGTTGTAATTTCCGTTCATTCGAATGCGAAATCATGTCTCTGATTCATGCAGGTTAGACACCACTGTGCATCCAACACAACCGAAGTGAAATCACTGTACCAAACCAAATTGGCACGTGCGGGGCTGATTGGGTGCGGAACTGCTACACACGATGTCCGTTTGACTAACCCAAGGTTGCCTTGTGAAGGGGGCGCTTAAGTGATTCATGCATTTCGTGGAGGTTTCGTCAATTCGCATCGGGCAAAAAGGGCTTATAGCAAAATTTTGTAACTCACCGTTGACTGTTTGACTTCGGTCTCTTCTGTTTCTGTGGTTCGTATTGGTTGACGTGCTTGTAACGTGGGTGCAACTGCCCGGGAAAAAACCTTCGTGTGCAAGGTTTCTGGAATGTGCCAGGCAATTTCGCGTGCAGGGGTTGGGCATCTTGTGTAGCAGCTGCAGAGACAATGAGAAAGGAATGACAATGTATACCACTTTCGGCAGATGTTCAGGAATGCTTACCCTCCAAGCATTGTTTCTAGTTACCGCTGTCAGAATCACTAGGCAAGAATGAATGAACTAGCAGAAGTTTGGGTACAAATATGAAACCCTAGTTGGGGTTGTACCCCATATTGGCTACCCCACTACAGCCTACAAGCATAATACAGTTTAACACACCCCCATAGGCAAAGTGGGGGAGAACAAAGGGTCACAAGACCAGTCCAGCAAAGCAAAGCAACGCCCAGGGTGGATCACAACGTCACCACACTCCGAGCACAAGTAAAGGCCACAAGGCCAGTTCACATGCAGTGCTAGATATAGTACAAGACAAGCAACACAGTGATCAAAACCTAGCAAGCAAGCAACAAGATATATATAAAGTACAGTACAAAGAATGTCAAGCAGTGAGCAAGTGAGGAAACGTGGACACAAGGCCTAAAGAAGTACAGTGCCGCTGATGATCACTAGGCGGGAGCGCCTTGGTGAAGATATCAGCAGTGTTGGCCTTCGAGTCCACGTACACAAGCCGAAGCTGACCGCGCTGCTGAAGCTCTCGAGCAAGAAAGTAGCGAAGAGCAATGTGCTTCGTCCTGTGCTCCAGTCTGTGCTCCTGACACAAGGCAAGAGCCGCCTTGTTGTCACCGTACAGAACTGGAGGAGAACTAGGCCGCTCTCCCAAGTCAGTCAGCAGGTAGGTGAGCCAGCGTAACTCCTGTGCAGCCATGGCTGTGGCGTAGATCTCAGCCTCACAACTAGAGCCGAGAACAGAGGAAGAGCGGGTGGACCGCCACGAGACAGAACCTGAGCCAAGGCTGAAGGTGTAACCCTGTGACGACCGCTGCGTAGCCAGGTCGTCCACCCAAGAGGCGTCCGAGTGACCAGTGAGGACAACTCTGTCGCATCCTCCAAGCACCAGCCCCATGCCTGATGTACTGCACAGGTAACGCAGCACCCTCTTAGCAGCCTCCCAGTGCTCTCGCCTGTGTCTCCCAGGCGCAACGTAACGAGCAAGGATGCTAAGAGGGTACGCGAGGTCAGGTCGCGTGCAAGTCATCAGGTACATGAGGCAGCCTACAAGCTCTGGGTACGGGCCACTCGGCTCTACGGACTCGTCCGAAGGTGGAGCTGAGAGCGAGTGGCTGGTAGCCAGAGGTGTGGCCTGTGGTGAGGAGAACTGGAAGCCGAAGCGCTGAAGGACCTGCTGCACCATGTGTGACTGAGTCAGGGTGATGGTGCGGCGAGCTCTGTCCCGGGTGATCTGCAAGCCAAGGTAGCTACGCAGTTCACCCAGGTCAGTGCAGGTGTGTCTCTTCTGCAGCTCCGACTTCACACGAGCGAGTGCCTCAGTGTCAGCAGTAGCAAAGACCAAGTCGTCGACGTACACGAGGATGTAGAACGGCGGCCGCGACGTGTCTGTGCGCAGAAACAGCGACGGGTCAGCAGTAGACGGCGCGAACCCAAGAGCCGCAAGAGTAGTCCTCAGTGTGTCGTGCCACTCACGTGGCGCCTGGCGGAGACCGTAGACTGGCCGGCGGAGACTCCACTGGGTACCAGGGGGAAACGACCCAGTAAAGCCAGGTGGGCGGCGCAGCCAGATCTCCTCGTGCAGGCTGCCCTGCAGGAACGCTGTGCTGAAGTCAAGAGAGTGAAGCTCGTAGTCACGCTGAGCAGCAACGTGCAGCAGAACCCGAAGAGTGGTCATCTTCGGGGTGGGGGAGAAGGTCTGGAAGAAGTCGACCCCCTGACGCTGACTGAAGCCTCTAGCAACGTAACGAGCCTTGAAGACAGGCGGAGAACCTGGCGGCCGCTTCACCCTGAAAATCCACATGCCATCGACGATGTTCGCCCCAGGAGGGGGAACCTCGTCGACGTAGGTGCCTGTGGACTTCCAGGATGCCATCTCTGCGTCCATGGCTGTCTGCCACTGAGAGGAGTAGGGACCCGAGATCGCCTCTGCGTAGGTGCGCGGAGTGGGGATGTCTAGTGCATCCGGGTCTCCCTCAGGGGCAAGCAACCAGGCCACGAGATGAGGTACAGCAGCCGCAAGTGAGTCAAAGTCCTCCTGCCTGTCCTCAAGGACGTCCGTGCCAAGAGCACACTCACCCCCGACGGACGGAGGACAGACTGACGCAGACTCTGACTCAGCGACAAGGCTAGCAGCGTAGTCTAGACGACAGGCAGCAGCAAAGTCAACCAACTCAGCGACCAGAGCAGACGCAGCCGAGGACTCAAAGGTGGGGTCAGTGACAACAGTAGCAAGGAGACGCGTGACTGTAGGGTGCTCAGCGCGATACCGGTCAGACTCAGGGTCCGGAACGGCAGGCAAAGAGGACGCAGGAGGAGACGGTAGAGGGACACGCCGAGGAGCAGTAGAGGGACGCAGAGTCATGTAGTGAGTGCCTGGGACAGGAGGAGGACGCTCACGACGGACACGACTACCAGTGCGAGCAGGACGAACAGGCGACGCAGGACGAGACTCAGGCTCACGACGCTCTGTAAGACCTCCTGTGGGACCAGTATAAGGAGAGGGAGCAGGGAGAGGCGAGGCAGGCGGTAACTGTGACTGCGGCTGGACAGGCGGAGGACACTCTACGGAGGGAGGAGGACAAGGAGGAGGAGCCTGCCCAAGAACCTGCTGAAGGAGCGGTACGAAGTACGGTCGCGGCCGCGCAGCGTCTCTAGAAGCAGAAGGGACTCCAGCGGCCGGGTCCTCAGCACCAGTAGGAGCTCCAGCGTCCGGGTCCACAGCACCAGCAGCAGCTCCACCGGCCGGGTCCCCAGCTCCAGCAGCAGCTCCACCGTCCGACTCCTCAGTACCAGCAGCAGCTCCACCAGGTGGGTCCGCAGCACCAGCAGCAGCGCCACCCCCAGAGTCGGGAGCTCCAACTCCGCTAGCACCGCCAACGCCAGAGTCCCCAGCTCCAGCAGCTCCAGTCGCAGCGCTCCCAGAACAGCCAGTCCCGGCAGCTCCAGTACCCCCAGTACGAGCACCCCCAGGACGAGCAACTCCAGCACCCCCAACTCCAGCCGAGCCACTAGGACGGCGAAAGCGTCGGACGTACCAGTCACGAAGCTGCTGCTGGGAGTGCTGAGCCTGGGGGTGCTGAGCCTGGGGGTGCTGGGCCTGGGGGTGCTGGGGCTGCAGGTGCTGGGACTGAGGGTGCTGGAGCTGAGGGTACTGTGCCTGAGAGTTTGCCGCCTGGGGGTGCTGAGCCTGGGGGTGCTGCGACTGGGGGTGCTGAGATACCATGTCAGAATCACTAGGCAAGAATGAATGAACTAGCAGAAGTTTGGGTACAAATATGAAACCCTAGTTGGGGTTGTACCCCATATTGGCTACCCCACTACAGCCTACAAGCATAATACAGTTTAACAACCGCAGCTATTGCTCGTGCAATGGTTAGTGCGCAAAGACGGGGGAAACCGAGATTTGGGCAAAGCATGTGGCGTTGTGAATTTTGTACTCGAGTAAAAAAGGGTCGTCCTTGATTCCTCTGTTCTAGTACGTGGCGCGAGACGCAGGACGATGTCATTCTGAGAGTATAACACCTCGCTACCCACTGGGTCAAAACGAGGGTGTTATTTGGCGCAGCGGAATGCCCTTAAAGCCCGCGTCCCGAATTGCGGAGCGCGCGGGTCAAGTTTTTAAAACTTGACGGCGTTGAGTTTGCAAACTTGAAAAGAATGGGCCTGCAATTTGGGACTATTGGGAAGTGACCCCAACCAGGAGGGGGAAACCGGGGGCTGGTTGGGTTGAGCGAAGTAAACGAATTTTTCGAAATTCCGAAACACTCGCCACAACCCCATAGCAAACCAACTCCCCACGCCAACTTTTTAAAAGATGAACAATTTGGGCCGCCGGCTTTAACACTAGCCCACAGGCGTTACAGAGAGCGTGTCCGAAGTGACCATGTCGCTGGATGTCACTGAATTTCGCTAGATGTCGGTGGATGTCAGTGCATGTCAGCCCTCGGATCGAAGATTTCGACCGTCAGGATTTGCCGACATCCTCAAACGGATGTCAACGGATGTCGACGTTTCGCTTCGGACACCCTCTGAAATAGAGCCCACTAAAAACTACGAACCAGCGAATGAAAGTGTGTTGTGGCAACAGTCCAGCTTCGCAACAAAGGCGAATGATAGACAAAACCGTATCGAATTCCACATTTAAAGCCGTATCGAATCTGTACCTCATTTTCGGGCTACACAGTGTTTCGCGGTACTAGAAACTGCGGAAACATTAGTAGTGCTGTTCGGTGAGTTGACAAATACCTTCTCTAAGAGGTGAGTGATAGAAAAAATATGATAAAATATTTATCCTCGGTACCCTACCCAACAATTTTGTACAATTGTTTGACCGCCTACGCCTTCGAACGTGTTACAATCCCAAATAGTACTTAATCAAGAATCGTCTCAGGCTCGGTTGAGAGATAGTGCAGCGAAAGTAATAACCCCATACCGTAAGCCCCCGGATTGAAGCGCAGGCCTCGGATAAGCGCCGGCGCTTATAAAAGGATGAGGGCGCTTATATCCGGTCC